CTAATAGATGTTCCAACCCATATTCTACCATCCATTCTACATGCTAACGGTATGAAATTAGCGTTAGCAACCAAACTTCAACAAACTGCAGTGACGTCGCATCTGACGCGAACGAAGCGAATTAGTTGATCATAACCAATGCAGTTTAACTTCTATCGCACACTAAAAGGCGAGAGTTGGTTTTCGTGATCCATCGTGTCAATATTTTCTTAGCTGTCTGAGCTTCCTTTTCTCTTGATCTCCCCTTTTATTCAATTCATTTGTATTTTGTTGCTATTATCCTACACCCGATCAGTATCACAGTATGCACCAGTGTCGAACTGATCAGTGACTAATCTACGCACAAGTGCCCTTAACCGAACAAAGGCAGGAAACCAAGTTGGAATAGGTGCGAACTTGTCAACCGGTCATAAGTTACTGAACGACAAGCTGTGGATGTACAGATGTTAAACCATGCAAAGAAGACAAGCACACTCTAGAAGACAGTCACTTTTTTCATGCCTGCGTAAGTTCCCAGTATTTTTGTGTTTACGCAATGGAGTCTATTGTGCCTTTGCTCTAAACGAAATGATCTTTGGTAAAAGTAGGGTAAAAGCCATTTTATGTCAGCTTCCGCAGCTAGCTACCCGCCTATGCTAATTTGCTTGGTATGGTTGCAGGCATGCCCAGCTGAGGAGTTTCCTGTGGGACGAATCGCGTATCCTGGATCCTTCTGCTCACCAAAACCAACTAAATTGCCACGAGTAACACTCAGGATATCGAGACATCCGCATGGGAGCCCATATGCTAATGAAGGTCGAAGACGTCGATCCACCAAAACAACGCAGTACTACAAGTATATCAAGAAATAATAACAATAACCCACATCTTTGAAGTAGTTGCCTTTCCTCACCGTGGACAGTTTTACCGATACGTTTCGTGAAGGATCCCCACAGTTTTCGTCATTTCCTTTACATTTCACCCGCTTTTATCTAGTTTGTCCTATGTCTCTGTGAGGTGATCAAACAAAAGTGTGCAACAACATTTTGTGGTATGCCGGGATGCCACACTACAGTAACCTATGGTATGCAGTGTTCCGAATGTATAAGTTGGCACCACAGTAAATGACCTGCTTTATACCTCAGCATACAGAAACCGCGTCAGGTCAGCCTTCAGTGGAAGAGATGAGGCTGGAGCACTATCAGCGTCCGGCAAAAAAATATGCGGGCAGCGCCCTCCAGCGTGTCCGAATTAGTGGCGATGAGTGCATAAAACGGAAGAAAACGCGGTTATGAAGATGTCAGGGTCACTGAACTGGACTTTGATCAACCTTCCGTACCCGATTGTGAAAAACTGCAAGGAAACAAGACTCAGCAGTATAATAAGGAACCGGCCACTCTCCTAGACCCTTGAGTCAGCACTCCCCTGAAAATGCAAGTTAGAGCTACCTGAAAGGTCTACAGTCTTTCACAGAGAGGAAGAAATAGGGGGTTCACAGCCATGTTGCGTTCCCGAATGTGACCTCTTTAGGGTGCGAATTTCCGTAAATAAGCTGTCACCGGATGATGCACCGGGCTCACTCTGCCTAGGGTAAAAAAAAGTAGATAAGAAGGAGCAATCTCCGTCAAAAACAGGTTCCATCTACTTAAATCCTGTTCAAACTGCTAGGGGAGGGGATCTTCCCCTAAAAAATGCTCATGAGCATCAGGGAACTAAGTTTCGTGCGCAAAGGCTGGTCTCGACGATCGGATCAGAAAGCGAGGAGCAGAGTGAGAAATGATATCTGGATTTGAAGCGCTAGAGGGCCCGAAAGTAATGGGTTTTCATGTAGTTGACCTGCAGTAACAAATGATGCCGAGGCCCCTATGGTTAGGACGAAAGCTCATTTAGATGGTCTTATCGTCCTGCACAAAACCACAATTAACCTGCCGAGAAAAAGGACCGAAGTCAGTAATGTAATCGACACAAAAGGCCCCGACACGTTTGTTGTCTCGGAGAAACGCCTCTATCCTGAGACCAGGGACAGTTGAACACACTTACAAGGGTTCTTTATTTTTCGCGGTGATGGGCAAGTACTCAGAGATGGCGATGTCATCCTTCACGTGAAGGGTCCATTAACTTGAGGGCCATGGGAGTGGTGGCACAGGAAAGTGGGATGCTTGAAAGGCTACAATGATGATCAAGATGCGAGGGACAAGATTCTAGCCTTGTTGTAGTATGTTGAGGCCCGAAATATGAGACGGAAGACATCCTACAGAATGTGCTGATCCCTATGTTTGATAGCTGCAGACGCCTGGTTACTGGCGACTGCAACACACCGTCAGTTAGCTGGTAGAGCCCAACAACAAACATCGCGTTGTTCGTTTGATCATGGGTGAAAGGGTACACCAGTTTCCTTGGCCGTTCCACAGAATAGTAAGAAAGTAGCCCGGTATTACCATCGGGATACTGTGTCGGTTCTTGACCTGGTATTCTGTCCCACAGGTGGTGCGGGCTGCATCCAGTACCTCGTACCCCCTGTAAAAGTGATCGAACCGTGATTATCTCCAGATTCATGGCAGCCACCTTGTGACATTCCATACCCTAACCAGATCCAATGTATAGAAAGAGAAAGTGGCAGATATTATCTTAGTGTCATCTTCGAGAGTTGGGCAGTCCTTTCGGCAGCGTAAGTCGGGTGTGCATGATGCAGCCTCAGACAGTTATATGCACAAGTAGCTCAACTGTTCGCTTCGTGGAGCGTCCAAAAGGGACGATGAACCGCAAAACCGGGTGTTGGTTACGACGCAAGAGACGGTTCTGGGGTGTTGGGAATCGCGTTCGTATCTCGTGGGCGAAAAGCATCACGAAGCGCGAAATAAATGTATCGCTGCGATCCGTCAGTCTTGCCTGAAAGCGCCCCTTACTAAGGATGCGCCGCAACCGGCATAGAAGTTATTTTCCTGTATGGACTAAATAAATGAGACATATCGTGGAGCACCAGCCGTAGTGCAAGAGACAGAAACTGACTATTTAGTCGAAGACTATGAGGCCGAATATTCCTCTGAGAGCCTAACCAAGGGGCATTTTATGGACACCAATTCAGCAGCAGAACCATTGACATCCAAGAGAATAAACCTTGCGAAATTCGGCTGCAGTGATGCATCTAGGACAATAAGCACTCTGGATGTAGAAACTTCAACAGGACCGCATGAGCTGCAACCAAGGCTACTCACATAACCTAGACCTTGTGTAGCTGACGCGTTGACTACCGTGGTTAGACTGTCAGTTTGCGAGGGCGCACTCTTCAAAGTCACATGTGCCCGCAAGGCGGGGCCTGGACACTAATCATTAGGCTATAGGCATGATTAATACCTTGATTAAAATCCTGGAAAGAAGGCTTCCGTGGTCTGGCAAGGGAGCAAAACTCTATTGCCTTGTTCCCAGCATGACTTTCACGGAATTTTCTCCTGCCTAAAGAAACTTCTCATGGTCAGGGAAAAAAGATGGCAACACCTAAGGTACTGGTAGGATTTCCCTACCTTCAAGATTGGTCTGCAGTGGCTTAAGAGTCACGGTAATTTATGATCTGAAGACCGCATCGTACCATCAACTGGCTGCAACTCTGAGTATAGGGCCACCTTGGCTTTGGGCAGAAACTTCACAAAAATAAGTGGTGATACGTTTACCACCTTATAAACACTACTAACTGGGCTTAAACTTGAAAATGTGCACGAGCGGCAAGTCATCGTCTGAAAAGTAATTAGGGTATTTTGAGAGCGATTAAGAGGACGGCTGCTGGAGTGACCCCTACGACGGCTAACCTGCCCTAAGAAGCACCAGCTGAGACTCTTCTCGTCGCTCTATAGAAGGCAAAGGGGAGATCAAGCCATGTTAGACAGAATTTCGAGAAATGACCGATCTGTCTGCTTTCTTCATTCCCACCAGATTGAAACACCTCAGAGGACATAGTAGTAGGGTAAAACCGCGGATGGTGAACACATTTTCCGTAGAATCCTTATTTACGAGGTGAGTAATCAACTCCAGGAGCCGACTACCAAAATAATTGGCCTCCTCACTATCAATCTACGGGTTCAAAAGAGGACTGGACAAGCACAAAAATCTGCAGCGGGAGAAATGTTAAAGAGTCGTAGCTTCGTATCAGATCTGAATTTGAAATTTGAACGTAAATGCCCGCACTCTGGAACGAAACTGACTAGACAAAAAGAACTGATACGTTAGAAGGACTGAGGAATCGTACTTGAACTAACCCGATGGACGTAGAGGCCAATCACCACGAATGCGAGACTAGGGAAGAACATAATTTGTGATCAGATGGGGATGGCATGTTTGAGAGGCCGTGCCAAAGTGCCAATGCGTTCTGACTGGAGGAACGAAAACGAGCGGTACAATGCAACACGAAGACGAGCCAAACAGCGTAGATGCTTGAAAAGTGACTTCAGCCCAGCAAGTCCGACAAAACTATGATGGTCAGAATAGATGTAGAAACTCGACGGACCCTAGGCCACTGATTTCGGGGAATTAAGTGCGGCTACAATGTCGTTTAGTTCACATACAAATATTCAAAATATTCACTGAAACATTTCGAGGCTGATCGTATTTGCGTACCAGGAAGATGTTGTTCATGGTTACTGCCACAGCTGTTTTCCAGTTTTCATTCAACAAGGAATATTTTTTGATTTTGGTTTACCTAGTTACACTTCAATCCCACTGATGTTTGAAACCGATTCAAGCGACTATCCTGCGAAAAAGCTTTAGAATTCCGCTACCGCTACACTCTCAGAGCAGTTTGCAGTTCTGCAAACAAATCTTACCGATGCTCAAAAGTTCACTTAAGTGATCACAAACACAATATGCAGGTGGGTAAATCAAATTACTGAAAATCTTGTGAAAAAATGTAGTCATTGTGCGAAACTTGGTAGTGAGTATGAAGAAACCCTAGGGTGATAGCTGAAAAAAAGAATATTGAAACTCGTTTGCTGTTCAACCATCATTTTTTCTCACATCATTCCCTTTCTTCATTTAATTCCATCAATTCTGAACATATATTTGACGAAAGTGATCTTAACATGTATTTGCATGCTTTGACCTAGAATCATCCCAGAAGTTCCAGAAGTGAGTTTGAATATATCATTTGGTCAACACAAGCTCTTAAAACACACACTATATTTATTGGCACATTGAAATGGTTACCATTACCTTGAAATTCCTGGTGCGTACTTCGGAAGTATGTCAAGTAGGGTGTCATTAAGACAGAAATTGATAGGTCATTTGGAGGATGCTGATTCGATCCTAAGGTAATTTTTCGGGATACTGTTTTACTTATTTTTTATTTGTCAGAGACATACTCACAACAGCTTCACGGAAAAAGGGGTCGGTTATCCTACTCCCCCTCATTGAATTGTTGCTGGAAAAAGATCAGCAACTAAAAGAAATATACAAAGAAAGTATGTGAAGTAGTTGTTACATCGTTCTTTATTCTAATCTTGATGGTTCAGTGGAGGTATATAACGATATACAGAAAAAGATTGATCTCCTTAGAGCAGACTGTTCGAAATCTGATAAACAAATCCAAGCATGTCAACTACAGTTGAAAAAAACTGAGGTTATCCTGGTAAGTACAGCGTCATTGCGTCATATGAAATTGTTAGAGTACTGCATTATATTATTCTAGGCAGAAGTTGGACTCAATGACTACTGCCGTTAAGAATCCTATTGATCTGGAGGAGCTTGTCAGATTTTCCCACAGAATAAGTGCGACTCATGGCGTAATAGCTCCAGATAACTGGACGCAAGGAGATCCTAGGCGGCCTTACCCTAACAAGGAAGAAATTAGACGGGGATATTTAGGACATATCGATGATTCAGGGAACTTTCGCCAGTCGCTTTGGGAAGCTTTTTCGGATACTGCCGCTGCTGCCGCATCAATAACTGTCTCTTCCACACCATCTGTTTCCAGTAGTTCCGGCCCGAACAGTTTTCCAAACCAGAATGTTGGCGCCTCGCAGAACCCTACATACCATTCCAGCCAACCACAACCTACAAGTTTCTCACTAGGTAATTCCACTGGTTGTTTCTTATTGTTGCTTGTTCACTTGGTCTTTCAGACAGTTAACATACTCTTGTTTCGTTTGTGGGTTCTCTGCTTTAGTTTTTCGTCGAGGCACCAGTTATAGTTATAAAATGTGGGCATATTAAAATTGAAATATTTCAAGAATGTCAAAAGTAGAGGGTTCCTATGTAAAACTCGGGTGAAGTTTCGCATTTTTTGTAATGCAAAATGGTTTTCATCTCATATATGATGGGTTGTTGACTTTTTGGTCTACTGCAGCAGGGCTAAGTGGCGAATTCAACTAACTGCAGCCTGAACGCAATGCTGAGAATTTATCATTCTTGACCTCCAGTTAGTTGTTCGATAATTACGAAACCTGAAATCTTAAACTCTATGCCAGTTAAACTTATCGGTGTTTATCATACAACGATTTGTCCTTTTTTCTTGAGGGCTCGAACAATAGGAGATTTAGACCATTCCAAATATATTTATTTGGTTTTCATACACTGGCCACTACATCAGTCGGACTAACCAACAAATCTTAATCACTGTTCTCAAACACTTCTGTCGCTGGTTCATCACAGTCTGCTATACTTCCTCGTTTCAGTTTGTTTATTACATTCCCCAACTGGTGGAAAAGCTATTTGACAGCAGGTACATATCAGTGTCTCGGAAAACTAGATTCTTTATGGGTTTGTAACCTTTGTTGCAAGCTTATTTACCTTCATATACAGGAGTTCGTTGAGATATTGTTGATTAAATAGCTCCAGTGTATTGGAAATCGAAACTGTTATGATCATTACAGAATCAGAGGATAGTGTAAGTAGCGTAACCGAAAACCACCAACAAAAGAGCGGAAGATAAACCTACGTTGGATTGTCACTTTTCAGAGAGCAAGGGATAACTAACGAAAAGTAAACTAAGGTGACTGGGACATCTCAGAAAGATAGTGTCATACCTGTAAGTGATATCGGCGCTACAGAAGTGCGCAGTGAACTTAACCGGCTTGTTTCGAAAGTAGTTGTGTGAGTTTCAGCCTTGATTTTGTCAATCAGTCATCCAGCTGAACACCCAAATTGTTTACTCTGTTGTTTAAACGAATACGAATAATTTGTCTCTAATGCTTATCACCGATTTCGTTTTTATTCGCTCAACCTACTACTGATGTAGACTGTGTCAGCCTACATTCGACCTTATTTCACTCCAGTTTGTGCCTAGAGAATTGCGTCCACGCATACTGAATAATGCAGACTAAGGAGTTAATATTCACTTATCTTCGCCAGTTTTTTCAGCAGGTCACTTTCAGTGTCCCTATCTGCACATGGGCGTGCGAATGCTACCAAACGTTTTAAGGATGAGTATCATCGACATTTCCCAACAACGGATTAACCAGCTCTTTCAAAGTGCGCTTAGCATCTAGCTGAACTCAAAATAGTTTTTCTATCGATTTTCTCAAACCAATATATAGTCTTTACTCAAGCAGATGCTTTTCTGGGAGCGGTAATTCTTCAGCGACCCTTTCTAGTGGCGACGAACAGCTATAAAGTCCGTCTTTGTTCACCTGTGACGCGTAAGTCGGTGGGCGGAAAGACCAAACAATTTCCCACTATTTGTATGAAATGTGTGATAGTTAGCAACAGGTAGTTGGTCGCGCTCAGTTATAGCAGATATTTATCATTGTCTGCTTACTGAGCTGGTATTCAAGAAGTACCATGTAACTGCTTTTCTTTCTGTTTTCTTACCCCTCCTATTGGTACATTCATGTTGCCGGCCACGATAACATCTAGGGCTTATTTGGGCAGTTTCCCGTAAAACTCATCTCTCACCTCAATCGAATCGCAGTTAGTGTGCAAGCGGGTTGCAGAGAGACAACGATGAGTGTCACTTTCCTAATCCTTTCTATGGCATCCAATCATGATGTCCAGGTGGCTGTCAAATTAGATCCAGTAAAGTGGTGTTGGTCCTGTCTTTGTGCTTAATTTTATGCATACATGTGAAGACTGGGAGAAGCCAAGGAAACTACAAATACTCGGTTGATGGATCTCACAGATCCGTGATATTGGTCGTTTTGAGTTTAAGTAAATAATCTAAATTGGGTCCTGTATGTATACCTAATAAGCTTATTATGCGGGATTATTTTGCTTGAGAACACTCAAACGTTAATATTTGGTTTGGAGCGTGGTATTATGGTCGCTATTTCGTGTACTTGGATCGTTATCATACGCTGTGGAGCTAGAAAAGTTATGGATGTAGAGTTATTACTAAAGGAATACGAATTAAATCCGGCAAGCAACATTGTGTTTTGAAAAAACGTGGATAAAGACCATATGTTGGTTTGACAACATCAATAGCAAAACCATTTTGAGCTCGGCTAGATGCTAAGAGTACTTTAAAAGAACTTTTAAGAAGCCGACCCTAGAACAAACAATCGGGTAGCATAACTAATTGGTTATGTTTCTTCGGTGTCATCCCAGAACAACACCATTATATTGTAGTTTTATTTGAAAGCTTCCCAATCACTTTTTCATGCTGCAGGTGATGGATTTTTCTAATTACTGTATACGAACATCGTACAGCAACATTTAAATACCCTTAACTGTCGAAGTAGTCCAATAATATTTTGTTTCTTATTTAAGCTCATGTTAGACTATAAAATACCACATGCCCAAAATCTGTTTCTTTATGCAATGTTTTAGTTACTTGTTCTCCAAATATGGTTTTACCGGAGTCAACATGGTTTCCTCACCAATATCTGTCTCACAGTCTACTGCTTCCGCTGCATGGGCCGCACCAAATACCAGTCTCATTGCAGGGAACTCAACCACTTCGGAGCTCACTAGTCCTCAAGCATCAATCTCTCGTCCGCCCTCAACTTCATTAGCTGCTATGCTGACAGGCGCAAATATGATGGATCCTCACTCTCGGAGCATGACACTCCCTCCACCCCCACTTAAACCTGTAGGTAGTCAGATCCAGGTAAGCCAGCCTACGTCTTTCCGGCCAAATGGCGCTTTGCCTCGGCAACCCAGCACCGGAGTTCGACAAGCACTTCCTTCATCGCCGACTTCGTCTGGATCACAGCAGATACAATACTCATATAGTGATACACATTCCAGTCTTACACCGAGTAACAAACCATCTAGAGCACATTCTAAACCTGCACAACGGAAACATACAGGCACAGAGTATGGAGAGATGTCATCCAATTCTTCTAGCGATTCTTCTAGTGGTGAGGAGTGATTTTATTTAATTGCATTGCCTTTGTAAAAACGCAAATAAAGCAAATGCTTCTCTATTTTTATGAATGAAATGAATTGTATAGCCTATTCGACTTGTGGAAAGATTAAAATTTTTGTAGATAGCAGAATCAATCGTTTTAGATGCTCTCTACTGCTGTTGGAGTCATTAAGTAGAACCCTTTTATCCTTTAACGTAAAGGTAAATAATTTTAATTTCTAAGATTTATTGATCAAGCAATATTCACCTCGGACAAAGTCCAAAAAGTTAGACACTTTTAAGAAGTAACTTCAGAGTTTATAGTGAGAAACTCCTTCTGTGTGAACGGCAGTAACTTGCCGAAATGAGTGAAAAAAAGTGGCTTAATGCGGTCGTCGATCTCAATACTTTCGACAGCCTTCCGTACTGTCTTCATTTCACTGGAGTTGTGTTTCAATAAAAATAGTTCGTAGTCGTTATCGTTCGTTATCTAATCTTTCAAGCCAAAATCATGTTTGACGTTTCAGTTTTTTTCATTTGTGTAACGTGATGGCAAGCGGTTATTCTAAGTCTACTTTCAACTAGGAATTTATGAGCATTTGCAACGATCAGAGATTGGTTTGTTCTGAACACTGTCGGATTGGAAAGATTTTTTTTAACGCATTGATAAATATTCCTTTAGTAAAGCTACTACTAAAAAAATCAGCTTGATTTCTCTCAAAACCAGTTACAAAGTTCGCTGTATTTACATTTCACTTGAGATAACTTAGAAAAACAATTCAACTTGAATGGGAATATAATCATGATTACAAATAGATAGTGTTCAATCCACCCTACAGTTACATCATTTATATACGTAACAAAGCTGGGTCATTGCATTGAGTGAATACATTACATGATTCTAAGGATTTTCCTTACTTATCATTTGTATTCGGGGTAGCCAAATAAATCTAGATGTGTAATCAAGTTTATTAGTAAACTGGCAAATAAACGAGACGATGGCTAACAAAATGACAGTACGTGAAGAGAATTGTACAAATACCTTGTAAACGGAGTGAACATTAACTACATTCAGGCATATGCATAAGTGCGAAACAAGTTTTCAGCAGGTGTCTAGTTTTATGGTGACAACCGAAAAAACAGTATTCTCAAAATAGCTTTACCACAAAAATGTACGAATATTGTAAATCACTGTAACCAGTTATTATTCAGCCAGTGAAATAACCATTCGACCACCCGAAGTACACATCAGTGAAAATAACAACGAATTAAGATGGTCTTTCACTAAACTGTAATGAAGAAATTATTGTATCGAAAAACTGCGAGAAAAAAAAACAAATGAGAGAATGAAATCAAAATTAGAGAAAGCTCAAGTAGACAGACATGGAAATTCTGTGATCACAGCCAATAAGAGTATGAGTAAACTGAACGTGATGGAAGTACTTATTGTTGAGGCATAAATAAAACAGGCTTGTGATTTAGCGGACTCGAAGTGCTATCAGGCTTTGATGCATTCGACAGCGAAGCAAGATTAACCAAGTTTTTATCCACAGAATACTGATCACCTTCGGAAATGTTAGCGTTCACTTGTTTTCTAACATGAGTGGATTGACTGACCATTTCAGGCGTGTAATAGTCTGTTGGGAGTTTTATGGAAGAACGAGGAGATGATTCTTCTTCCAAAAATGCTAGTAACAATTCTGTGAAACTCTAAAAGTAAAGAGGAAGACAATACAATTTATAAATTGCATTAAGAAGTTCTAGCGCCATATATTTTGCTCTAAATTACCACAATCATAACTACGGGAAAGCTAACTGAATGAATAATAATGAAAAATCGACGGAACATATAAGAAATTGTTATGGAGATTCATACATCGAGGAGTTTCGACGGGTACGTAAGACGACCAAAGTTACGCTGCTTTAACCCAAATCGCAATTTTCAAACAGGCCTATACAAAAGTACGTTTATGATAAGTCTATTGAAACCGTACAGTGTTGAATGACTTTCCCGTGCAACTGCAGCTCAGTCGCTATTGAGCTACTTGTTAGTAACATTCTATCACGGACAACAAAGAGAACAGTATTACTGCAAGACTTGAAATAGATAGAAAGTTTTGAAGTATGGTTCTTAGTATGAAGTCAAAAGCTATTTTTATACTTTGTTACGACCATTTGAGTAAGGTTTAACTTCGTATCACTCAGTGAATTTGTCAACCACACAAAGGTAATAAATTACTGGTTACCATCTTATTTCTTCCACCTACAAGAGTTATGTTGAAGTGTTTTGTGCTCTATGCTTGCTTAACACATCCGCTTAACGATGCAAAAGTTCAGACGGAACCTCAGTAACTAAGGGGTTATAAAGCACTTGACTCAAACGACTGTTTTCACGAATGAAGGTGATATTGTAGTAAGAGAACTGACCAGACTGTTTGTGGCAGTGAGTGACCCGTCACTCTGAAATGAAGCCATTATACTCTTTAAAAAACGCTCACGTAATATGTAATGATCATCGGGGTATCAGACTCCCAATAGCAGCGTCTAGAGTATTGGCTGCTATTGTACTTCGCAAGATATGCTGACTATGTTCAGGTCCTGGATAGTAATCATGTGCTTACCCTTCGTCAGATGCTCGGAAACTGCCACACATATTGGAGGCCAATGATCGTTGTTTCTATTGGTATTGAGACTACCACATCGATAAGTTCAATAAACTGTACTCTGGAATTGTCTGCTAGAAAGGGATGTCCTCAAGGAGTTTGTTAACATTCTAAAAGCTATAAACTTTAACACCTTAAGTAAAAAGAAGGCATACAGTCACCTCTATCCATTTTTGCAAACCAACAGAGAGATATATATTCATGTAAGAAACCTAAAAAGTGTAATTAATCTGATTGGTAAAGATATTTACCAAGTAGTAGTTGGGCTCGAAAATCGAACCTTATGAATTAATAAGAACGAAAATGTGACGACGAACTAACAGTTTTTAAAGAAACTGATGTAGTATAAAAAATGTCCTTATTTTCTCCTAACGTAGAACCTCGCACTGAAGTGCATCGCGTCAGCTTGCCACACTTCACAGTAGTAAGCAAAAAACAAGTGGATAGAAAAAGACTGATATTAAATTAGCAGGAGAAGCGATCTGAAAATGAAGGTTAGTGAAAATTCCCAAACTCTAGAAAACGTCAGTTAAAACATTTGCGACATTGTAAGCGATTTTCAGTCATGTTGTAGTGGGCGTTGCTGATAACAACAGATATAAATAGTATATATCGAGAGGGTGGCAGGAATCATAGGGAATTACCGGCAATGAGTAAAGTTTCTGCCAAGAGCAACGCAGGGGACAACACAGGCGTATTACAGAGGATGCTGCTGATAAAAGTGTATGAAGGGCCGGTCAAGAGCAAATTAAGACAGGGACGGAGAGGAAACGAAGACATTTGCAAATGGCTGCGTTAATGCAAGGAGTAGCATATGTAACCACTACCATTCCAACTGTTCGTATTACACATTCTCTCGTCGAGTTTTCTTCTGTTTCTTCAGTGTAACCAACGATTCCCAACCATCAGTCCCTATCGTTTTGACTCCAAACAGGGAGTCCACACTTCCCTAAACGACTTAGTCTGACCAATCTGAGCCCTGTTTCAACCCAATCTGAATTCTGCTAGCTGTGTATGTTGAAGCAGGTGGTGGCTTAGCATGGACAACAGATGTTCCAGATCAACTTATTCGGTGAAGGCCCAGAACCTCATCAATCGATTTGCTTGTTTTGCCTAGTACCCTTCGCTCGACTTCGATATTCCTCATACACTGGTTCTAACATAAACGAGTAATGCTACGAAGAAGACTGTGTTCTTAAAACCTGTAATACCTTCACACCACTTTCAACAGACATGTCTAACAGTGATTAGTGAAGTAAACTAGTCTGATGGGACCACTGGTTCCTGTATGCTCCCTATTACCTCCGTTACTCTACTCAGTAATTTTATGCCCCCCATCTTTAAAAATGTCTGGTGATAAACTGTCAGGTTCTGCTGCTTTGAATCACCTCAGGTTCGAAACAACCTTTTCAGTTTCTAGGAGATATCTATGTTCAATTCAAGCATCCTTGGTAAGAGAGAAAAAATCACAAAGTATTAGCCCATGGTGATGTCTTCTCCATCTCTGTTGCTTTCACCACCCATCACTGCTGATCATGATCACTGCGGGAATCCTTCGTTAATTTACGTTTAAGCTGCCTTCCCTCCTCACTATGGTCGTCCGATACAAAATACGATCTTTCGACTTGGCGGAATGTGATAGAATCCAATAATTACATGTATTATAGATGCTCATTAAATTTATGAAAACTTTTTAAATGTACATAGCTAGTAAGTGTCCGCTTGCTACAATTATAATCATGAATACTCCCAGCAGCAAAACTACTTTTAAGTAGTATAGTGTAATTACGAGCCTACAGAATACCGTCAGTTTAAATATAATGAAAACATGGTCACGAGTTTAGACTTTGATATATAAACTACTCGTATTTGCACATGTTAAATACTGACTAGCACATGACGTAGAAAGAAAGTCCTATGAACTTTTATTTAAAACTCCCTAGACTAAAGTACCTTAACAGTAGTTAGTTTTCGGTAGCACAATAAATAGACGTGGAAATAAACTAACGACTATAATTATTAGGCAGTGTTGAGCACACAATACCGTGCAGCCAAAAACCCTCAACTGTCACATCAAGGTAACAGTCCACTACTACTACTACTACTACTCGATTTTAGATTTGCCATCCATCATATTTAGTCATCAAAAGATGATGCATGACATGAATACATGGTAACTCAATTAAATATTCAATTTTGCAGGTTAATATTTCATAGAATGTAGTGAGATATGATTTAATTGATCGGTGATTGAAACTTGTCTACTTTGTAACACTTAGTTTCCTACTGTGAAAATTATATTTGCTAGTAATATTAATCAGAATTATATTTTTATGCCTAAGAAGCTAGTTGATTTAAATGTGAAACTAATTTATGCATAGACGAACCAAGTTGGGATATAATAGTTTGACGAAAACTAATATATGATAACTTGATTTTAACCTTTCTGTATGGAGAAAAGAACTCAAATCAAGTTAACATATTTGCTATGTACCCCTAATTTACTTGTTTTGCCCATGACCTCAAAATAACCTACATGGATATTTTTACACCGTTACTAGTTCTTTTTCCTTCTGCTCTCAAGGCTGAACTCTCATTGGTCACTAGCTATCTTAACCTATATATGGATTGAGTATTATCAAAGTCATTTAGAGATGTATATATTCAGTATCGCTGTCAACTGTATTGACTGTTGTTGAGACAGTAAAAGCTCTCTGTCAACAGTCTGTCTTCTCTTCTTGTCTTCATGCGTCGGTAGTATTGTTTTTGTGGCGGTTGACGTTCTGATTTGCGTTAGAATCGATTCGTTGCATGTTACCGTTCGTAGTCTGCTAGGATAGTATCGCTCGTAGGTTGTTAGATCGCACTACCGGTCATAGCACTATGCAAGCCTGGGTATTGTGAATTCCAGTTTACTATAACTGGGAACTACAAATACCGAAATGATGAGACCGAAAGTATAAAGTTAGTGACAAGTTAACTTGTTTCCTTATTTATTCATTTTAGCGACATGAGAAGCATAGTATCAAAAACAGGAGGAATTACCGTTTTTGGAAAGTTGGGATGTAAAGGTGACTGTCAAGGTCGTACGAGTTTACAAATTTGAACAAATATTCTATAGATGCACTTGAGATCATCATTCACAAAAGCATTATTCATGTGGTATGAAACACACAGGCAGAAATGCACAGAGATAGACAGCTATCTATCATCAGTTTGCAACAACAATGACTTGTGTGAATAAATATGTAAAAGGTGTTAGAATAAATGCTGTAAGAAAGACCTGTTACTCTCTGAGACACCAGTTACACTAAAACCTTAAATATTAAAATACCAATATTGAGACAACGATATCTCAGAAGAAAATATAATCTAACTTCAGTGAATAATGAGGCTTTAGTTTACACTGCAAAGTAACATAAAATACAAGTGTGTAACTAACCTTATCAGCATTTCCAGATGAAAGTAGAACATTTTCTGGTGGTCCACTAGGTAAATTACTAACAGCAGTTCGAACCCATCCCATCAATTTGGGTAATGTACCCGAATTATTGTTGACCTACAATAAAATTTGTATGAAATTGAAAAATGGTGATAGGAATATAATCTGAATTGACTGATTTAACTAATTCACATCTATATGTCAGAGCATGTAGACTGAAAGGACAGAGTGGACGGTTGAGAATAGATTTCGTGAGCACATTCCAAACAAGTTAATCTTAAAGGAGCCAAAGTGTATTAAATGTCTCATTACTAAACATTTGATGGACATAGGACACGAGGTCTACATCTCGAAGGTATTTCAAATCGCTAAAGAATAAAGCATTTCTGATTTACTAAGATTCGTAGAGACAATTGCCATCAGAAGAATTAAAGCAAACTTGTGCATACAAACAGAAGCAGTTGTTAACCTACAACTTTCATGGTAACCATTGATTTATTTTGTCATTAAGTATTAAACTCTTCCGAAATTCTATATTTTCATCTCACTTTCCCAATTAATTCCTATTTCATTTACACAGGTTTACTACTTGACCTTAACCAATAAATAAAAAAAAATTCCGACACTATGTTTACATTATTAACTCATCATACACATTGGCGTAGTACTTTGTATTCCATTTTTTGATTGGTCATATACAGCAAGATGACATGATGACTATATAAACATATAGACATATAAACATAAACAAGATAACTGCGAGTTTAGTAATCCCAAATTATTTCGTTTGAATTTCTTTCATTATCGCACTAATGAACTATCATCTTCTTGATAGGTGAATTATATGGATTATGTATCTCTCTCCATGGACACTGTATGAATTTACAACCGGTACGCAGTTGAAAGAAAGGCGACAAAATTCAATAAATTCATCGTATTCAGTTTTTTGTTCTAGCTTAACTAGAATTACGTCATCATTTATAGAGATAATAAGAAAGCTGTTGGTACTTGTAGTTAGGTCTCCTATGAAAGCACGCTAAGTGATGCCATTCAGTTTATCGACAAGCAAAAAAGAAATATTTTGCATACTGTCGTAGTTTTACATCATAATACTGCTTTCAAGTTTCAACAAAAAAAAACAAACAAACATGATACATCTTTCTAGATGAAACTTTCACTTCGACTTCGTTTACAGACGTCTTTTAGTGAATGGGTTCGTTATGCAGTGTAGTGGTTGTATTTGTGAAGGTTTTTACCGAACTGTATGCAAACAGATGGTGTGTTTGAATGTTTCCTTTATCTCTTTGATTGCATTTTTCAGCAGTTTTCCCTATTAAAACTACTACTAGTTACATGTCAAATGGTGGCAAGATTTTTAGCTCAGGGTGATAGTGGTTTAGTGTTCTCTAACCTTTGATATTTTTTCGTGAATGTTTTATCAATAGGCTTAGTGACATCTTCAACACTAACTTAATAGAGAAGTGAAGCGTTTTTCTAGAAATTCTTTTGCAGCTTTTGAACCTGCCATTTAGAGGATTCCCACATTCTCCCAGATGAATTTGTGATCATGATTATCTGCATGCATGCATGTGAAAATCTTCTAAAGAAAGCTGTAAGAAAATTTCTAGAAACCTGACATTCAAACGAAAAGTTAACCAACAAACATGTGGATATAGACCTAATCTATAATCAATCTACTCAAGGAAGAAAACAGCCATCCGTTAACCAAGGTGAAGTTAACCGAACAAATTAATAATGATGCAGAATGTGACAACAATGAACACCATCATTTTATTCCAACAACGAATATCTAATGACATGACAGAAGGAAATCTGAGGTCAAAGAGGTCACGGTGTGATGAAAAGTTTCTTCCTCAACTTACAATTGGACAACCAAGGTCAACAAAAGCACTATCTAAACATTCGTGTAATATTTGATTACGCTTAACCGCTTTATGAAGTTAGCGCTGAAGATGTCACGTTCACGAAAAAATATCTAAGCTCAGAGAACACCAAACCATCATCATCTGTTACATGTGCTAATAACATGACAATAAACGCCCCACTTATTCATCTCTTCAAATCATTTTCAAACCAATAACAAAGTCTATCCAGTCTCGTTTTAAGGCAGTGAGGGTTGATGATACTATCTGGTTGCCCAAAACTCGGTAGGTGAGGCGGAGCTGGAATCCACGACACATTAGTTGAACGTTATCTCTATAAACCGATGAGATTTTTCTAAGGGGTAAGATACAATGAACGAATTTTTGCAATTTCACAGAAAATGTCTGGTACATTATTGCTAATAATTCTCGGGTATGGTGATTTAGTTAGTTGGGGTTAGTAGAAGAATCCAGGACACGCGTTTTGTCCTATTTGGGACTCCTCAGCTAGATGTATCTGCATCGCAGTGGGTATTGTTCCCACTGACACTCGTACGCATCGCTTCAAACGTCAAGGCATTATCCACTATGCTATGGAAGAACGATAGCCACTTCTTGTACGACGAGTATTACGTATTACTATTTATTGATATACATGTGATTTTCCGTTGTCTTATTGGATCGAATCATTCGACTTTTAAAACAATAGAGAGTCATAAAGAAATCAATAAATAGTAATAATTAATACCCGTTGTACCAGAAGTGGCTACTGTGCCTCCGCAACATAGTGGTTAACGCTTTGGTGTTTGAACCGATGGGTACGAGGTTTGAGTCTCGGTGGGGACAACATCACTCACTGCGATGCAGGTACATTCAGCTGACGAGTCCCAAATGGGACGAAACCTGGATTCCTCTGCTAGCCACAACGAACCAAATTACCATAATTAACATTCAGGCAATATCGAGTCATCCGCATGGGAGTCCATATGCTAATCGAGGTCGAACAATTCGATCCAATAAAACAGTGAAGAATTATAAGTATTATATCAATAAATAGTAATTCCCGGATATGTTTAAGATGCTGATAATGACATCTAACACAAGAATGAAAAGTTTGCTAGCCGAAACCCCAGCTCAGAGAACAACTCAATCTGGATAGCTAGTCTGTATTTACTTTCATTGACAGTTACCAATACAATTTCAGACCTGAGAATGAAGCTATATTTCAAGTTGTTATTCATCGTAGACTGACATCAGTTGGACGAACAAAATCTACGATGAATAACAACTTGAAATATTTCCAAATCTCCGTAACTCCCTCAAAATTCAAAAGAAGCTATATGGCAAGCCTAAAAAGCTAATAAATATAAAGAGGAAATTGTTGTCGACCTCAAATTTTGGATAGCTGAACTAGAGAACTACACTATTTGATATAATGCACAACTAACTGCATCTCTAACATATTAGTCGTCAACATAAATAATGTACAATAAAAAATGCGACAAGGAAACCAAATTCATCCTAATATTACGTCATCCTTAATAAATATTTGAGTAGATAACCTGCTACTTACAGTTCCGTAAAACTTGTTGAATATAGAAACAATGACTGTTATCTTTAACATTTACATAATCGATTCTAAACAAAATGATAAACAGCATGATGGTAAACCTAAGAGAAAAAAATGACTGAAAGAATAGTGTAACGGAAAACAGTCTCTTGCAGAAAACATGGCGAAGGAATGTTTAGAAGTACAAAAAATACTGATTATAAACATGTAGAAGTAAAATAAGTTTTAATATAAGCATAAATCATCCTCATAAGCTTCGGAAAGTCAAACAGGTCATGAATTTTCGATGTATTGTAAAATGTCAACGAACGACTAAATCTAAAGAGCTTGATATATCTAAAGAAGGAGCAAACCTGTTGCAGTTTCGTAAGTAACTCTGTCAGTCAACATCGACACAACTTGCTATCACAATTGAAGATGTCACGCCTCATCTGGTAAAGAAAACAGCGATATAGACTGAAGATGTAGGTGTATACATCATTGCGATCAATTTTGTGCCAAATCATCGACGATCTTTAACCATCGGTTTAAACTGTCTCGTGAACCTCAATCTAGATGTATACATCATTAAAACTAACAGAGATTTCGTGGACTGATTGAACATTTTAGTTTGGCCATCCTATACTTTTTTACAAGCTGGCTATAATTGAGCTAATATTGTGTCATGGTGTATAGTGACTGAGTATGCATCAAACACGTCCCAGCCAACTCAATCGAAGAAAGCCTAGAGCCTCATCAACCGACTTACCTATTCTACTTGAAACTTTACTGCTCACTTTGCATTAGTAATGTGGTAATTCGATGCAAAAGTGGTTGAACACCCAGAGCCTTCTCATGAACTCTAAGTTTAATAGTCATGTTTCATAGCCACAAAATAGGACAGATGGAACTTCTGGGCCCTACACTCGACCTTTAATAGGCAATGTCTTACCAGCAGGAAAAGTTGATCGATCCTTTGGTATCCTAACCAAGACCTCATCGGTTCACCGATTCACAACGGATGATTCGACTTCCCAATTAAATGAAGTGGTCATAGCATTCAATGACTTCGATTCCTGTTATTAGACGAGGTATCGAAGCGATTTGATAGGAAACATTTGCATTTAGGTGAGAAACGTATTCTAAACCTTTTCAAATCATCACTGTATCTGCCTGAAAGACTACTTTGTGTATGCACGTGCAGACGATTAGATTTTATCTGCACTAGAAGTAACAGTTTCAGTCTAGGTGAACATTCAGTAAAAAAATATGAAAATGTCTTATCTACTTTTTGGTTGCATTGCAAAAATTAATTTGTACCTTGCTCATCTGTTACTCTATTTAATAAAATAAACAGGTATGAAAAACATGACTTAAAAGGTCACCCTAGCAACTGATGAGGCAGACAATTATAATCCTTTATTTTATAGGAAAGTACTTTTTCAGGTGAAATGCCGAAGCCTGATTGCTTATTTCAGCAGTTGCTAGGGTGGCCTTTACAGTTATTCATGAAAAACTATTATTGCTGTTCAGGAATTGTACAACAATTGACTGGTTAGAAAAAATAATCAACAGTTCGCTTACCTTTAAATAATCTTCATCTGAAAATCCTAACAGATTTCCAATAACACGTATACCATTGTAACGTTGATTTGCAGGAAGCTGTAAGTAGCTTACTAACAAGTTCTTAATTAGAATCCTACAAACAGAAAACCGACAGGAGGGAGCTGTGTTAAAAAGGACTCAAGCAGTCAGACTGTACTTAGATTTAAAAACTGAAATATATTCAGTGATGTCCCAAGAAATTGAAATGGTTATCGACATCAAAGCATTGCTTTGTACCATCATTACACTATCGTACAATTGTAGGTCTCATATAGTGACTCCACTGGAAGTATTTTTTGAAACTCATAACAAGCTCTCATTTTATGAGATGAAACTATAAAGAAGATCATACCTGAACATATAGATAGATGCAAGGAGATACCTGTCAGCAGTTGCACATAGTAAGACGTATAAGACATTAAATTTCATAGATATCAAAATAACCTTTCGAAGTTATTGAGATGAATAGAAAACGTGCGTAATAATCGACTATTCATAACAATCAGTAGTAGACTTCTAGTACAAAGCAATGAAATTCAACCAAATATACGTTTGGTGAGGTGTTATAACAATAGTTATCATGGCAAAGTCAACAGAAGTTCTGAATCGAAAGGATACAAAAAAAAACGATCAAAAAGTATTGTTATGGGAGCCATAAACGTTCTTGTAAAATTCGGTCCGTAGAATAAGACTAAGCGAATATCTAGATAAAAATCCTTAATTGACTTGTGGACATAGACTATCTGATCCTTATAGTAAGAAACGATATTTTGAAACAAGTAGCAATGAGTTATAAATCATCATATACTAAGTCACAGGGCATACCTATTGCTCTAAAGAATAATGATGTCAAATTGTTACACAGAAATCAGTATATGTTGAGTTATCGGAAGCTAAAAAATCGAAATAAATCCAGAAAACATATCCACGCTCCTACAGTAGACAATGAACCATGCCTATTGTGTGAGGGCTAATGAACCTCGGTGCTCAAATCACATGAGGCGGAGTGAGGTTCAAACTTATGATCCATTGACTGAAAGTCAACTACCTGGATTAATGCTCCACAGCTCCACTTGAGTGATACGAAATTATGACGTTGTTGGAAGGTCTAGTGATGGAAAATGGTGAACCATCGCTCCAAATAATGAATATGACTCACTGAATTTTGTTTGTAAGATACGCATGGACCGTATTATTTAGAACTAGATTATTTGAGCTCTATAAGCATGAGGAGAGAAATTCCCTTGTTTATCAAAATCATTGCAGGATTGTCATCAAACTTTAATCCCAAGATTATACTATATAACTTGACTCTCGATTTAAACAAATTATGAACAAAAAATAGAACAGTCTGACATCACTAAAAAACGTTTTGGTGAGAGTCATATTACTCGATGGTTAAACAGTTTCCCGTTAACATCTTCAGTAAACACAATCAAAGTCATTTTCATCAACAAATTTGATACTTGTCGTCAATATGAATCCCATTCGGATATGATCAGAGTGGTTACCATTAGTACTAGCAATCACATGGTAGCTTGTAGTTAGGGATTTGTGAGGAAAACTTGTAGTGAGGCATAAAGACATCTAGCAGAAGAGTTCATGACTTTGTATATACAAAGAAGACAGAGTTTACAATACGTACGATGAGTGTTTCGACAAAAAATACATAATAAAGTATGGGTGCGTACTGCTGAGGAGTCCCGTACTAAGACGAAACAGATATCCACTGCTCCAAGTTTTTCAGTGGTTCACGAACTGATGTCAGTCCGTGATAAACACTTCCTCAAAATCAGAATCCCCATCCATCTAAAAAAACACTACTGTTTAGTGCTCATTAGTGGCAAGCTTCCAGATGGATATCATGAAGTTCTAATGAGAAGTCGTGATCAGCTGGGTTAAACAGTTGGAAGTGAAGTGGATGCAAACTGAAGACCTTCGGTGACAGTCGTGCTATATCTTGAATTGACAAAAGTTGGAAACGAACCACTGAAAACCGACCCAGTGGCTGAATGGTTTGCGCATGAACCGTGAAATCTGGAGGTCCTGAGTTCGGTCCCTAGTCGGGTCGTGGGTGCGTACTGCTGAAGAGCCCCATACTAAGACGAAATAGTTGTCCAATGCTTTGAAGTTTTCAATGGTTTTTCGACTGATGTCAGTCTGTGATGAATACTACTTCTATAACCCTACTAATAAACATGCTATAGAAAAAGCAAGCTGATCTGATGTAGTGAATGTAATCCAATGCAATTTTATCGTACTTATCGATTCGTGCATCTGTATCCACAGCCATTTTAGTGAGGCGTTCACGAAGTTCATCGATCTCTGTATCACGCTTCTTTACTGCAAAAAGAAAAGCGAAAACTTGTAACAGTTTCAGACAAAGACAAAACTTTTAACTGAATGATGATTATGATTAGAGAAACTGGGTGCTTATTTTGAAATGACAAACATGCATTGCAAGATGGTAATGAAACACCTGAAACAAGAGAAAACTTGGCTTAGTACAAGCTGTCCAACCGAGTAGAACAACAGAATGAGGTTAAAAGAAGTAGAAAAAACTGCAATGGAAATATTATGATAAGAGTAACAGACAAAACACGATGGAAACTATGAAAATACTAAAGAAAACTAAAAGACAATTGCACTTGTAACATATTTCCAGTCATGTTACTTCCCATTTTTAAAAGGCAAAATGAATGAACAGATACATCAGAAGGACACCTACAAGAAAACCAAACAGGAATGAAGCATACCACTCATTTTGATGTCATCAAATAACAGTTTGCACTGAGTCATCATGATAGCGTTCGAAGAAATAGCTGAAGCTTGTTTACACTCTATTAAGTGACAAGAATCCTGGTAGTTCATACTAAACAACCTGACATCAAAGAATCCAAGTAATGTTCGAGAAACTTTTAAGCATACCTAGTGAAAATTGAAGATATGATTGATGTACGCCATTTGGTAAGCTCTAAATCTTCACATCCCTTTTAAGTCTGTTGATCTCTCAAACTGGATTAATGATAAATGGAAAGTTAAAAGCCCTTAGCGAAATCGTGGGTACATACTGTTGAAGAGTCCAATACTAGAACGAAACAGCTGTCCAGTGCCCCAAGGTTTTCAATGGTTCTCCAATTGATGTCAGTTCATGGTAAATGCTACTTCAAAATTAAAATCCCCATTCAACTCAAAATACTTTAGTGACATTCTTCGAGATGGATGTCACGAAGTTCTAGTGAGAAGCTGTGATCTGTGACGTCGAGCAGTTAGAAGGGAAGTGGATGCCAATTTGAAGTCTTCGGATGATAGTCACACTATATCACGAAATGACAGAAGTAGGGAAGTGTGAACACCACTGAACTCCGACCCAGTGACTAAATGGTTAACGCGTTGGCCGTGAAACCGGAAGGTCCTGAGCTCGACCCCAAGCCGGGTCGTGGGTGTGTACTGCTGAAGATATCCAAAGTCGGACGAGATAGCTGTACAGTGCTTCTAGGTTTTCAATGGTTCTTTATGATGAATGCCACCTTGAAAATCCAACCATCCCAATAAAATGGAAATGTTGAAAAGACCCGCTATTTTATATAGAGAAACTGAAAGGTAAGGAATTAGTTATTCTTTCAAAAACTATTCCAAATTATCATTTTCGATCGATGGGTTCTCCAACTATCTTTGGTACATAATTTACCATAAAGGTATAGGCCATACAACTCAAGAAGCCTCCATGGACCCTACTTAACCAAATCTGAAAGTAGTACTGTATAACTGTTATCAGTATCAAATTCATTCAATCTATACTGTATTACCTAATAGTCAGCTTTTCATTAGACGTAAGTAAGCAAGTACCGTATGGAATTGTAAGACGTACTGAGACTGTATGAAAGTCACCTAATTAAAGATTTATAGAATTAATTTTCAAAAATTATCTTTGAGATGGGTTAAAAGACAGTTTGAATCACCTAGACATAAGCACAATAATAAAGGAACTTTTCAGTAAATGATGTAAGATTGAGATTACGAAAAGTCAATTACCTTTCGTTTCAAGACGCATAATCTGTTCACATAACTGTTGATTCACACTTTTCATCTGGTGTAAATCTTTTGTTAATTCTTGATAACTAAGAAGTGATTTATGAAGTTCTTCCACTTCTTGTTTAGTTGCAGTCTCTTTCTGAATAATCCTATTAAGCTCAGATCGAAGATGTTCAGTTTCAGCTGCAACAGTTGCCTCTTGATCTATAAAAAGAAATAATATAGGAAGAATGTAATGGAAATTTCATAAAACAAAAAGTAGTACATTTTGATTTTTAAACATTCAATAAAGAACTAATCTAAATGAACGTTAGAGTTTGTAAATGTAAATTTACAATACAATACTCACTAAATAATTGATTAGGAATAAATCTTATCTGGAAGCATACGAAACGAGATCAATGAATAATCCCATCCTTTTATCGGCAATAGAATAAATAAGGAGACTCGGTCGATAGCTGCCACCCTAATGCAGAAGTCGGGGTTACATATCACAATGACCCAACGAACAATGCTAGTGGGACGCTTGTTTCTTCCAGGTCCTACCATGCCACAAAGGTCTGTTGGATAGTAGTAAGATAAAAGGCAGTTACCGTTGTAGTGTTAATTACTACACTATGATGGGAGTCTGAGGATGAAGTCGTAATGATGCTAGCCGGATGGGATTGTGACAGCAGTAAGGAGTTACCCTTGGATGACTAGGAGTGCCCCACAGGCACTGCCTTCCCAACGGAAAGGAGGGGATTAGAAAAGGTCGGCATCAAAAATGGTACACTCCCTGTCATACAATCTTCCGATGCCGGCGATATGAGTTTTCTATATTTGGCGTTAGAACAACCAGACCTCAAAACAGAATCCAGCAAAAAGCTGCATGTGACAAGCCTCAAGCAAATGTCCCATCGGCTCTGCGGTCACATAAATCTTTTTCTCTTTCAGGCACCCTACCAAGAAATAGTCTTTCACAATGTAGGCAGCCGGGAAGTGAAAACAACCCACACGTTTCCAGTAGAACACAAGACCCAGTCGAATATAACCTATCCTCAAAAAATAGTAAACAGAAAAATATACAGGTTAGAAAAGCTAACTAAGGACATTTATTGGAAATGAAGTCAATCAAAATGAGCGATAATGTTAGATAATTTCTTGAGGAAATGCTTAATGCATATAGAAATATGTAAAGAGAATGACATCACAGGGTAGTAATATAAGCAATAATAAAGCCCATCATTTTACACCTAAATTCTACTCGTCATCTATAAAACAATCATTAATGATGAGATTTGTTTTATTCAACAACTAGCATCTACAGACTGGAATAAAGTAACAAACATAAACCATCTCATTATAGATATGAACGCTTTTCAACAGCATTTGCTTCAGACACCTTAATGAGGCCATTTTTAAACAAATGAAACCAACTATTGCATAAGAAAGATCATTATAAACTGGGATAAGTTGTTTACTATTTGTGAAACATGAGGCACTGTCAATGGTTTGTCAACTGATCTCAGTCCGTGATGAATATTACCTTAAAGATAAAAACCCCATTGACTCTAAAATACATTATTGTATAGTTCTCATTAGTGACACACTTCCAGATGAATATCCCGAAGTTCTGATGACAAAACGTGACCTACCGCATTCTTGGATAAAAACCACTATAGCGCAACCACCACCCAATGTCATCGTTGAGTAACTGTCATCACGACCATCAGACTTTGACTCCACCCGTCACGACTTCTCATTGGAACTTTGAGAGTACCTCTGGCGGGGTCGTGGGTGCGCACTGCTGAGGAGTCCCATACCAGGACGAAATAGCTGTGCAGTGCTCCCAGGTTTCCTATGTTCTTCCAACTGATGTCAGTCTACGATGAATAACAACTTAAAATATTTCCAAATCTCCACAACTCCCTTAAAAAAGACTATAATCATGAAATGAGCAGCATCCTCGAAGATACTACAAAGTTTCAGAAATTGGTGAACAGGAAAAATCAAACTGAGGAAATGAAAAGAGAGTTTTTAGAAACATTAAAGACAATGTTAACCGGTGGCACAGTCTCATCAGACACTTTCGAAAGAATTAAGCCAGTAGGCACTAACATACCAAGGATGTATGGATTACCTGAAATTCATAAACCCAACGTAAGCCCTATATTAGATATGCTCAATTCACCGTATCATGAAAAAGCATAATGGCTAGCAAATATACTGAAAACTCTACAACATAAGGTAGCTGAATATAGCTTAAAGGACACTTTAGAATTTATTTCAAAAGTGGAAAACAAGAACAAAAGTGAAGAAACAATGATTTCAATGAGTGCCATTTCTTCGTTTACCAATGCTGCTCTTCTGAAAACAACTGATTTCATTAGTAGTTCACTGCTCGATAATAAGATGGAGATAGGTATACCACTTAGAACCTTAAGAGAACTGTTCTTCCGTTGTACAATGTATATACAACGCATCATCATAGAACAGAACACAGAATGGCAGTCAAGTCAAATCAACCTCAACTTCATCGGCTTGGAAAAGGCCTTCGACAGAGTCGACCGACAAGTAATTTGGCACGCAGCTGCTCCAACTCTACACCTTTAGTGCCACAAACCTTTATCAACCTCATTCAACAGTTATATCCCATAAGATGCTACATGACAAGTGATTCACAACACATAGAAAGCTCAGTGATGCCTTCCAAGTAAAGACAAAAAAGAGTAAGACGAGCTTGCCACCTACTTTCAACAATCATCTTCTTGATTGTGGTCGACTCGACTCAACTCGACTCGACTGGATCATGCAACAAACCATCCCTCCATACACACCAATCTACGACCAGGCATTACTGCGTAACCGTTCCAGTTGACACATCTCATATCAATACATCAAGTAAAAAGCCAATGAGGCGCTAGATGAAGATAAGAGAATACAGTCAAAAGAAACAACAAACTGTGAGCACCTGTGAGAAGATAGCCATACGCTGTTTGACCGGCAAAAAGACCACAGAAGAGGATTCACATTTCACCCATGATCATTTATGTCTGTCTAATCTAGCACAAACTCGAAGATCTACAGGCAAAAAATAACAGGTTCGTAGAACAGGAAGGGCACCGAAAACCCAACTTCCTTCACGTGAACGAATGTAGAGAAGACAGAGGTGATGAAGATACCCAACCACCATCACCACCACCAACAACACCACCACGAACAACAACAAGCACCAGTCACCAACAACAGGAGAAATCTAAACGAAGTTGTCTCTTCACCTAACCACCTAGGCAGCAGCATCGCCTCAACTACAAGCGCCACAGGAACAAATGAGCAGGTCAAAGCCAGACAGGATTGGAAGGACAGAAAGACAGGCATTCCTTCATCAGTCTGTGCAGATCAGTGTGAAGGTCTACTCCACTCCACTCACCATAAAGCGTGAACAACATCCGCATTCTCAACAATAAGTCAGTCAATCCAGTACTTCCATATGATGGTTCAGAGACTTGGCACCTCACGAATAGCATTCCCAACAAACTACACACATGCATCACATCAACAGCTGCCACCTACACTCACTCCATACTCAAGATCAGATGGCCACACTAGTAAGAATAAGCAACAAGGAACTCTGGTCTGCCAACCAACCAACCAACCAACAACATATCACCCAACATATATGCAGAAGAAAGTGGAGATGGATTCGATTGGGCATACACTAAGAAGACTGTTTGGGGATATCATGCGCCAGCCCAGGAACTCGAGTTGAACGCAAATGGGGAACGACGAGTTGGGTGTTCCAGCTGAGGGTGATACGTGGGAGAGATCGTGTGAGGAAGAAATGAAAGCTTCTGGTCAGTCATCGAGCCAGGTTCAAAAGATTGCAGAGAGTAGAATGAAATGGCGACGTGCTAGTGGAGCCCTATGTTCCACTAGGAACCCAAAGGACAAATAATAATAAGAAAAATTTACCGTCACATAGGTGTGGCAATGGGTTAACCATTAGGTCCTCTTCTAGCCGGCATGTTTATGACGAAATTGGAAAGTGGACCACTGTGTAGCACGATAGACAAACCGTTCTCCTATTGTAGATACATGGATGACACTTCCATTCTGTATAAAAATGATACTAATCCTGACATTCTTCTCGATACATTCAACGGTGCCCATCCAGAAATCAAGCTCACATGTGAAGCAAAGAAAGACAGATGTCTGCCGTTTCTAGATGTATTGTTATCAAGACGAACGGATGGCAGTGTCAGACACAGTATTTACGTAAGAAATCATAGGTTGGCCAGTATACACATTTCCGATCATTTGTCCCTCTTGCATACAAAAGGAATTTTAACTGTACACTGATGTTTTGAGCCAGTAAGATTTGCACAACTGATACTTTGAACGATGAATTAAGAATAATAGAGAACTGCTCATATGAGAACGGATATCCTGAAAAATCCGTAAAGACTGTAACAATGAAAGCAGCTGGAGAAAAGTGCCTTCAAATGGTGCCGAAGAAACGATTGTATCTAACCTTAGCGTTCAAAGGAGATGCAGATACAGAAAAACTGATACTGAAAATCAGAAATCTGAAACAAGAAACTTTATTTGCCACCACACTATATTTGAAATTTACTACTCGCTGTATGATACCAATGCAGTTGTTGCAGGATAAGCTACCGAATCTGGTCACATCTATATGCATTTATAAATTTAACTGCTCTTGTAGAGATAGTTACATAGGTAGAACGACTCGGCAAGACCATCATCGCTTCACTGAACACTGTCCAGCAAAGAAAAAGTAAAACCTATCAAAAGGTCATTACTCACCAATCTAGTAGATACTGAGTATAAGATTGACAAAACTTCAGCATTTACTATTATTTACAAAGTCACATCACAATACTCCAAGTTTGTGCACCTCCGATTCCTAAGCATAGTAGAACCCATAACTATTAAAATTTTCAAACCTAATTTATGTATTCAGAAGATGTTTGTTCATTCCCTTTCCCTCCTATGGTCTTCAGCTCAAAAACAATTACAATAAGTTCTTTCCTGATAACCCCGATTAATGTAAATATGATCTCTGTTTGTACTCTTATCATTATCATTTTATTTTTCGCCCTTGGTTTCATAACTGATCAAGAATTTTAACATTTTGTTATCGAATCTCTACCCCTGCACACACATACACACACACCTATAAGGATTAACTACTGGGAATGTTCATAAGCTTCCCGAGATTTTGTTTTGTTATTATCACCTTTATTGTTATCTTCTGATTCATGTATCCGAATTAATTTAACCACGTTGATATCAAATGAAGACTATGCTGAATAATTTGTAAATGTAAATGTAGAGCCTGATGAGAATTTACCGAAAATACGTGTTCACTTCAAATTCTGTCTTCTAATTTCCACCGTCAGATTGTCAAAAATGGAGGAAAGTGACTGTTTTAAACCACTCTTTAATTATTATTTGACTTCCAGAGATGGCGGTGGTTTCGCAGACTAGTATTTACACTAGAAGAGCACTGGGTCGGTAACCCGGTGGTCTCTGGTTTGAATCTGGCTGAGGTCCAGAGTTTTCATTTCACCTTCAATCATCACCCAGTATAAACACTTTAATTGTTTGACCTGTGGTCCAATCCACAAGACACTACAAGTTGCATTTGAACGGTAGCTTGTAAGTAGAGTTTTTTCGATCCTTCAGGACCATCGAGTACATGTTTACTACTGGTTTGAAGGCAGGATTTTCCGAGTTAATTTGTAAAGGATGCCTTGATGATCTGACGAGAACAAACACGAGTTTTATGGTGGAGAGTATAAACATAAAGCCATATAAGTGCATTTTTGAAGCATATAGTAGTCTCCTCATCGTAAATCATACTAGGAGGGCTATGATGATAGAACGGAAGTATTCAAAACAAAAATTAAAGGCAAATACTTGACCTGAACATTTGTAGAATATTCGATCGACACAAAAAGTACAACTTACTACGTTGAAAATTATCCAAAACAGTTTGAAGAGTTGTCAAACTCTCTTTTAAATCGATAACTTCACGTCGACTTGTCTCTAAATGCTTCAAAGCTTCATCACGTTCAGAATAGGCAGTTAACATTTGTTCATTTGCTGATTTACAAGAGTCATTTAACTGAGCAAGTGATTTTTCAGCCTCTGCTAAACGCCCACGAAGTTCAACTTCTCGATTCTCTGCATTGACAGCTTCAGATGTATAAGATTCTTCCACCTGATTTTAATATGAATACAAATAAATGAGAAGTGTAATGACTAATGACTGCATAAATAAGCATGAAGTAAATTGAAAAGCAAAGGATAAAGTTTGTTTGCAATCCCTTATATTGTGACTATTACTCGATAATTCGGCTACAGGTTAACTAGAATGAACAGTACTAAACGCATAAAACTTGAGTACTGTCTTAGAATACAATAAAATATCACATTAAATTACCTGAAGTCACAATAAATAATGCTGTATAACTGTAAATTATGTCAAGTAAACCAATCCAATATGAAATAAACATAACGGTAGCTTTATGATCGAGATAACCAATTACTAATCACCGAAATTATTTATCAAGTCTCGATGTACAGATATTGTTTTGAGAAACTACATAGAATCGTTATTCATCTTAGAAGTGCTAGAGATATTCGCAACCAACAGCTAAGGATTTTGTGATAGGTAGGGGCAAAAGTCAGCTAATAGAGAAATTGTTTCCAGATCATGATTTATGCACGTACTGACATGATAATCTGATTGGAAAAATTCGACGCCATACAACCAATTGGACTGGTTTATTTATAATTAAATTTTCTTAGGGTTTTGTAATATATATATATATATATATATATATATATATATATATATACCACGTATTTGTCTAATAAAAAGTTGTTGTTCTTACAGTCATAGGCCAGTCTTTTGTATTCTGATATCTTCGTGGCTCAGTGAAGTAGAGGGAACTGAGGATTTCAGTCGTAACAGTATTAGGTTAAGGTGTCTATTGAGTCTCAGTATCTTTATATCTGCGTCCGTAATTCTATTCAATCACAACATTTTCGACGACATGTTGCAAAACTGATCAGCGTTTTTAACGCATTTACTCATTAGTTATCTTGGGAGTTCTAAACAATTTGTCAATTTTCATATACTTGTTGTATACGATTCGATATACTTCGAGTGTACTTGCCGTTATATTGAGAAGTGTGCCTACATTATCCGTTGGCGGTCTGCTTGAACCTTGGGCTACCAAATTTATCCATCGAACATTTTCCATCAAATTCTTTCTTTTCAATTGGTTTGAATCATATAAATATATCCTTTGAAAGTATCATGTACTCTTGCACATTCTTTTAATTGTTTCCAACTCTCCGTTTCTCAAGTCAAAGGAGAGAAAAAAAATGCTACGTTATATGGAAATGGACTTTTAGGTGCGAAAAAGTACATCAAATTTCTATCCGTCAGATGGTTAACCTGAGTTGGAGATATTTGTACCGTCCGAATGAACCGCCATCATCAAGATTACGCTTTCATTTCTGTTGCTTCTTCATTATGGACCGGATGCCCATCCAGAACCTGCTGGATATTTCACATTATTGAACTGAATACTGTCATTATTAACATCATTCCGATGCAATAACCGTTTCGTTTGAAAGTATTGCTCTGGGAGTGCATTTGTTGAACAATTACATGCTGAGAATCCCATATTGTCATACATATTGTTTGGAATAAGGGGATTATTATTATTATATATTACTGTATATATTATTTGCATGAAGAGCTGAACTATTCCGAAAACTATTACGTTAGTTTATCTCTTAACCTGTAGAAAAAAATGTGACTAGTCGCTGCACCGTTACTGAGTTGTATACTAAAAACGGAAATCATGCTTTCTAACTCACAGCAGTGCAATATAAGCTCCTAAAGAACTTATAAAGTTCTATACATTTCGAGTATAATCAATATTTTACAATAAGAAAACAACTTAGTATCTTATCCTAACTATCATTCATTCATTTAGAAGTAGAAATAAGGTAACAAGGTAGTATGAAAGATACGTATTCTCATCTATGTAAGCACCTAGTGGATTCAACATAACAGACTGTTTCTCTGTAGTTTTGATACTAGTAGCAAATCAGTTAGTAAGCATTAATGTGAACCTAGCATACCTACAGAACGGTACAAGTTACCAAACTTCATATCAGCAAATCAAGATAGTAGATATCAAAAGGCGGGATAGAGGAATGAAAAAGAAAATAGTCAATATAGTATTTGGTAGACCTCCTTCTTCACTTCATCCAAACTACAGTCAGTGGGTGCATAGACAGAGACCACAAAGACATAATGAAGATTTCCACTACTAATTTTAGTCCTCATTGTGGCGTTCAGTCGCAGCGCGCATAGGCGACTGTTATTAACTGGGATCCAGTCGAGCAGTGCACTTCCTGCCTTAGTGCTCAATGCTATAAGTATACCTGCAAGATCACGAGAACTGACCATCAAATCTCCAGAAACACGAAGGGTGGACTCAGCGGGTTCACTATATTGGCTGGGTGAGGTTAAGTGAATAACGGTGCTTGAGTCTCGTATGCGTGTTTCACAAACAGAGCACAATTGTAGCTAGCGAAGCTTGTAGGCCAATTGGATGGATGGTGCAGACATTAGAAGCTCTAATATGTAGTTTACAGCACAGTTTCAAGAGACCAGGAATGCAGTTCCATGAACTCGGATCATTATAGAGAGCTGATAGAAATTAAAGATGACAGAGGAATATTGATCGAGAGAAATAAAGAAAGATTAGAAAGTTGATAGTGATCTGAAATAATTTAAGAGCTGACTGAGTTGTGAGTGCAGTTAACACTTTCCGACTACCCATACCGTAAAATACCTTGAAAAGAAATCGGATCAATGAAAGTGATACGCAACCAGAGAACCCAAAGAGTTTCGACCTGAGACCGGTCATATGACTTTTCTAGAAGTTTGAGAGCTAATTTTGATTGTCTTAAATCCGAACAGAAAACCTATACAGCCGGTACCGGAAGACAGAAAGGTCGTATGAAGTGTTCTACTTTTGGTACTGACATTTTCTGAACCAACCCTTTCTCATAAAAAGGATAGCAGTAGCACTAACCGATGGTCATCTGTAGGAAGTACTTTACCGGTCACACTCCATTTAGTGAGGAGTACGATTCTTCTCCTGAAAATTCATCATGGCGTTGCTACTTATACTATCATGGTGTTACCACTATTCAACAAACCTTTCTTGTATGGTACAACCTCAAAGGAAAAAATGTTTCAGCCAGTATAGCTTAACCACCACATCGAGGTAGTGACCATACGTCACGTATAACAATATCATCAAGGAAAGCATTGTTCAAATAAATTACAGACATGGGTGAGTTTGTGGCACGATACGTAACACTGGCTTACATAACCGCCCATCAAACTAGTACATATGAGATTCTGAGAAACTTAAGATGTCAACACAGAATCTTCTTACTACCAATTAGTAAAAGCACAATATATACACCTTGCAGAGAGCCAGACAGATAAAATATATGTAGAACCTCGCACACAAGTGCATCGGTTCAACTTACTACACTTCACAATAGTATACAAAGAACAGGTGGACAGAAAAAGAGTGATATCAAAGTAGACAAAGTTGTGTGAGACAATAAACAATTTGAAGATAACGTTTAGTGCAAATATTCAAGCATTAGATGTCAAGGAGTAAATACATCTGAGACACTGTGACCACTTTTCAGCTATGTCACCAACAGTCTTTAACGACTGATTCCTATCGTCTCGGCAACCCTAACCAGGCAGTCTACACCTCCCCACATGGCTCAGGCCATGTGCTGCTACGTCTCGGTCTTGTCACCCTGAACCCCTTTCCAACCTAATTTAACTTCCCTTAACAGGGGACGTCAAGGTAGGGGGCGACTCGGCATACGCAGTGCATGTCCAAGCCATCTCAGTAGTTGAAGGTTCACAACATCAATCGACTTCCCCATCTTACCTAGTACCCTGCACACCTTGCAACCGAATGTAGGTTTTAGCAAGTATCTAATGTCATTAATAAGTAATCGGGGCACTGGACATTACAAAGTAAAATTACGCTATACTTACTCAAAACAAGAAGAGGCATGCAGCTTCGTTTGCCTTCATGTGAGTACAGTTAACAACATAGTTGACATGTCTGTTATGCAGATACTGCAATACTATCAGTTTTCTTTCGGTGGCAGGAGATATAAAAGAGCAGTTTAATACTCTACTCAAAAGATTTTCTAAAAACCATCAACCAGTTGCGTATTTTTAGATATGATCAACGTATGCAATCAGGGATAATTAGATGGTGAATTATGCCACTGTCCTCTTTTGTGATCTCGCTGATGATATATATACATTAAAACACATTATCAACTACTAAGACGTCAGGAAATTAAAACAATAAAAAGTCAAAACTACGTTAGAACAATAAGACCTAAAGATTACCATCCTTTGTAGGGAATAATGAAGATATAACTCACCTCAACTAAATGTGCTTGTAAACGTTCAATTTCAGCAATTAATCTTTCTTCGTTCGACATTTGACCATCAAAGTGCATTTCCTGAAGACGGTCTACAGAATTCTGTGTTGTGGGCAACGACTCATTCATTGAAACAGACTGCTTCACAATAGGATCAATTTCCATCTTTGTAATAAAAAACCATGTGAGATAAATGAACAGAAAATTTACAATCAAGTACATACCAGTAATTTAGTGTAGGGAACGAATTTAAAAATGATTTCTTTTAAATAGAATGACTTCAAAGGTAACCCTAGCAGCTGCTGAGACAACCGATTACGTCTCTCTATTTTATGAAAAACTACCTTTCTAGCCAAAATACCCAGACCTGACTGGTTATTAGATCATTTGCCAGAGTACCCTTCAAACTGGCTCTTTAAATAAGCTAGTTATTCTTAAATGTGAACTCGATATACACACAAACTACACAATGAAGACATTCAAAAAAATTGAGTATAAAAAGGTCAAATTTTATCCGTAAAAAAGTATCATATTTCCTTACATAAGACGCACATTCTACTAGAGCTTCTCCAGTAATTTCATATACTTCTCAGGTCATACTGTATTAAAAACCACCACAAAATGCGTATCAACTAACAGCACAAAACGCCTTCTTCAAGAAAAAAAGACCAGTGAGGGGTGTTAGGAAACATGCTTGTTTTGCGGATACCTCATAGTTAATTAGCAAAAATAACATAAAATGTGACAATATTGAAAACAACATTACAGCGAACATGTGATCGACCTCAATAACATAATCCATGCACTACTAAGTATTATACGTCATGTATGGAAAGTTTGATCAACTCAAAATATTGATCTACAAACAAAACAAATGGTCTACATATATAACTATTTTAATATTCTCATTTAACAGCTATATGCCACATGATGCTACATGACAAATGATTCACAACACATAGAAAGCTCAGTGATGCCTTCCAAGTAAAGACAAAAAAGAGTAAGACGAGCTTGCCACCTACTTTCAACAATCATCTTCTTGATTGTGGTCGACTCGACTCAACTCGACTCGACTGGATCATGCAACAAACCATCCCTCCATACACATCAATCTACGACCAGGCATTACTGCGTAACCGTTCCAGTTGACACATCTCATATCAATACATCAAGTAAAAAGCCAATGAGGCGCTAGATGAAGATAAGAGAATACAGTCAAAAGAAACAACCAACTGTGAGCACCTGTGAGAAGATAGCCATACGCTGTTTGACCGGCAAAAAGACCACAGAAGAGGATTCGCATTTCACCCATGATCATTTATGTCTGTCTAATCTAGCACAAACTCGAAGATCTACAGGCAAAAAATAACAGGTTGGTAGAATAGGAAGGGCACCGAAAACCCAACTTCCTTCACGTGAACGAATGTAGAGAAGACAGAGGTGATGAAGATACCCAACCACCATCACCACCACCAACACCACCACGAACAACAACAAGCACCAGTCACCAACAACAGGAGAAATCTAAACGAAGTTGTCTCTTCACCTAACCACATAGACAGCAGCATCGCCTCAACTACAAGCGCCACAGGAACAGATGAGAAGGTCAAAGCTAGACAGGATTAGAAGGACAGAAAGACAGGCATTCCTTCATCAGTCTGTGCAGATCAGTGTGAAGGTCTACTCCACTTCACTCCACTCCACTCCACTCCACTCCACTCAGCATAAAGCGTAAACAACATCCGCATTCTCAACAATAAGTCAGTCAATCCAGTACTTCCATATGATGGTTCAGAGACTTGGCACCTCACGAATAGCATTCCCAACAAACTACACACATGCATCACATCAACAGCTGCCACCTACGCTCACTCCATACTCAAGATCAGATGGCCACAATAGTAAGAATAAGCAACAAGGAACTCTGGTCTGCCAACCAACCAACCAAACAACAACATATCATCCAACATATATGCAGAAGAAAGTGGGGATGGATTCGATTGGACATATAGTTAGAAGACTGTATGGAGATATCACGTGCCAGCCCAGGAACTCGAGTTGAACGCAAATGGGGAACGACGAGTTGGGTGTTCCAGCTGAGGGTGATATGTGGGAGAGATCGTATGAGGAAGAAATGAAAGCTCCTGGTCAGTCATGGAGCCAGGTTCAAAAGATTTCAGAAAGTAGAATAGAATGGCGACGTGCTAGTGAAGTTGCTAAATCGTTAAACGTTAACAATCTCATTGATTTACTCGCCAGCCATATCTAGTAAAGCTACCCTGAACGCCAACTGCGTTTATAGGGTGAAAAACTTATAGTGGATAGGACATAAAGATTTCTTTCTTCTTGTAACAAGACTGAATAGAAATAACTATACTGGATATCAACATCCAACAACTAAAACGTTGAATTGTTTAAAAAATGTAAATTCGTGAATATAATTTTTACGCACTCGTACTTTCTCAAAGTTCTGCATACTTAATTGAAACAAAGCTAAGTTCATCATTTTGACTGTCTCAGGTAGCCGTGGTTTGGCAGACTTGCATTGATACTGGGTGATGATTGAAGGTGAAGTGGAAATTTAGACGGTGGCTGGATTCGGACCAGTGACCACTGGGTTTCCGGCTGGATGCTCTACCAATTCACCCACTAGGTTCGACTGCTGATCACACTTTTATTTCATTTCAACCACCGAGGGTTTTGCCCGACTACCATATGAATTCGTGACGTGTTATTACCGTGTGATCGTACTCATACTGGCTGTCTAGTCAGGACTTCTCATCCCAATCCAAATCTAACTGAATCAGAGAGGGGGAGCATCATATTGATTATCATTTTGACTATATGAGATAGCCGTGTTTTGGCAGACTTGTATTTATACGAACAGTTGATAGAGTACCAGACCAGAAACCTGACGATCGCTGATTCGAATCCCACCGCGGTCCAAATTTTTATTTCACCTTCAATCATCACCTCCAGTATGAAAACTAAGTTAGTCAAACGGATATTATACGATGAACGAATCTAAAACAAACAATAAACGCTAGTTAGTCAGTCGATCAATATCAATACTACATTAGTGCATGGTAGTAATAGTAGACTGAAAAGACGTTCAAGCAACCATAGTAAGATAGTGATTTGTAATACAAAATAACTGACTTTATAAATATCGCAAAATTTTGAAAGAGAAATAATTTAGAATGGAAACATTCGAAAAAAAAAATTTCACAGATTGAAAATTACACGGAATAGTTAGGCTATGATGTTGATTAACTATGAGAAGGTAACAGAAAATCGATAGAGATTAGAAAACGTCAACTAAGTTAATCGAATGCAGAAGTATCCACAGCAAAGAAGTCAAGGATATATATAAGTATCTGAAAGCAGACATTACTAGACAGTTATTCCTAGATAACAAAACAAAAGTATGGCTTACTTGTTTAGCATTCAATTGTTCACGTAAACTATTGACTAAAATTTCTGTTTCTTCACGACGTTTATTAGTTTCATTTAATTCAATAAGACAGCGTTGTAATTTCTCATGATATAACTGACTTTCTGCATGTTTCTGTTGTAAACTATTCACAACAGAATTATACATTGTTTGAAAATTATCTGAATTAACTTTATATTCATTTAATTTAGCATTAAGCTTTTTAAGCACATTGAAAATGTTTGGATCATTCATTTGATACGATTCAGGTAATAGGATAGAAGACTGAGAGTTTGGTGATGCAATAATAATAAACTCATTGTACATTGAACAAATGTATTTGATTAACTCCTTATAATAACACCCATAGTCTTCCTCAGACTTATCCACATTTGTGAAAGTTTGTGTTTGTGTATCAATCCGTATTACATCATTTTTATGATAGTCATCTTCAGTTGTAATATTAGTAGTAGTAGTAGTAGTAGTAGTAGTGGCAGCAGCAGGAGCAGCGGAGGTTGATAATTTTGATTTCATATCTGACAAAACAGTTTCCAAATGTTGTTTCTCTATAGACAGTTTATCAATCATATCATGTTGATTTTGAATAGTAGACAGTAAATGTTTTAAATCACGTTCTGCTTGTGTTCTAAATGTTGTGTGTTGTGCTAAAATATCTCGAAGAGCTACAACTTCTGCAGACAGTTTGACAACACTTTCAGATTGATCAGCTATTTCAGTTACTTCAGAATCTAGACGATCCTAGATTTCATGAATTTAGATTTTAAAAAGGCAAGAGTAAATTTACTATAGGATTCTTTTTGTATGAATATACTTATACTGGAAAATGAGTAAACAAATTAGAGAAACATTAAATGAATTTTAGAGGGATATTTTATTTGTGAACTGCTTTGTTCCAACAGATCCACCAATTACGAGTTTCGCACAAATATGCAGTAATCCGAATTCTCACAAGTGTCAGCAGACAAAAGAAACTAAAAATGTTTAAAGATATCCGTAAAAAATGGATACATTTCATCATCCAGTGTAGCTACACCCGCAAGAATGGAGACATAATTATCGCCTTCATTCAGCCTGGTAGATAATACCAACAACATCACTAAATCTGGATATGATGGACTTGGTATGTTAGGACAGATAATCATCGGTTTGATAGCCACACATCAAATATTCATTTCACTACCTTTAAGATCTTTTCAATTTTCCCCCACCCTCTACCCCCAAAAGTGTATATCTAAGATGCCATATTCAAAAGTGGTTGGCGACTCAGAACAAAAGCCCTTAGAAACACGCACACCTACCCTTGCACCATACACATAAGGTCCAATTACTACTTCGAAATCAAAACTTATCAGGTGAAAGAGATCTACTTGTCCAAATGATCAATACCGACAGTGCACAATGGTTACAAACGAAAGATGAGAGCATATTTGTACCGCATATTCAGTTTTAGTGAAGATAGGTATACACAATAAGAGATTTAGTATATGCACTGCATATCAGTCGTAGTAGTCACACTTCTTAAAGAGGTGGAAGTCAACATGTAAACAACGAATGTCACATCAACGGTGCAGATAGTGCAAAGTTAGTAGTAGTATTTGTTGTCGCCTAAATCTTCCTTATTCATGTCGAGGTAAAAACCTACGCAGACGAAGCAAGCAACATATAAACCATGCATTTATCAGCAAACTTTATACAGAAGCACAGCAATGGCGGATTATTATGCCATGCTAAAAAGTTGCGAAACTCATAACATTCTTTGATTATAAAGTCAAGTGTTTAACAGATTTTGTATACGAAGCTATTTTTTGGTTGTTACATAATCGGTCGAGTTTACCGGAAACTTAAAAACAAGTAGCTTACGATTACAAGTGATACGTTTGGAAATATTTTGAGTCTATTGATACTTGTAATTTCCCACTGATATACTACGTCGAAACGCTCAATCTCCGTTGGTAGATAGGCTCCTATGCAGATGTCTCGATACTGGCTGGATAATCAGTAGTCTGTAGGGGAATCCGTTGTCTCTTGTAACCCACTGGATAACGCTTTAGTGCTTGAAGCGATGGGTGCTCGGTTCGATTCCCAGGGTGAACAATATCACTCACCGTAGTGCAGGTACATCCAACTGACGAGTCCTAAATAGGACCAAACGCAAGTCCTTGATTTCACTGATAGCAACCAAGTAATCTACATTTCAGGTTATTTGAATTTCATTTGCACCTAAAAGTTACTGTTGAAATTATTTACGGGAAAATATCATCTATCTGAATATCGACTATTCATTTATAATTGTGTTGAAACGTGTATATTAATTGATTAGAAATACTCACCTTGAGTAGAGTGAATAACTCAACTTCCCAATCATCTGGATTCCATTCTCTTTCACCTATTTCAGGATCAAGGGACACACATAACTGATAGGCAAGAGAGCTCGATTCAACAAAGTCTCCTGAAATTTGCTGGTCTTCCGCATAAGTTGTAGACTTGAGATTTTCATCAGATTTAGTTATCTGACTAAACAACTGTTGGTTATCAGACTCCAACTGTTTGCATTTCTCTTGTAGTGATAACAGTAAAGTGTTAAGGCGAATAATTTCATTGCGTGCAGAAATCTCAGATGCTGTTAACAATTCTAGCTGATCTTCTACTGTTGTAGGCGGCCAGGCACAAGAAGTCTTTCGATCGAGTAAGTGACTAGGTAGAGTAGGAGGTGGAGGAAGTGATAATAAGTGTGACACAGTTTTGCTCAAAGACTTTTGCAAACGACGAAATGGTTCGAGTTCGTCTTCTAATTCAGCTATACGATGTGTACTAGCAACATTACTTTCCTCTAGTTGTTGAATTTTATCTTGAAGTTTACTTTGAGAAGATGGAAACTGGAAAATCAACAGGTAGAAAAGTCAGGTAGTGAAAAAGAATGAGGGGAGTTACAAATTGCATACCATAGTATTTACAGCATCAATTGATTTACTTTGCCACTACAATTACTACTTATTTATGAAAATTAATTATATAACCAAAGCATAGCCATAAGACGCAGATCGGTTCCAGTGAAAAATTGATGTGAACTATTTCCACTTTGATATATTTAAAGCAACTGTATCCTTAATACTGACAGGATTTAGTGGAAAGCGCCACGCAAAGCTTTCCAAAGTTGTAACTCACATGATTATTGCTTGTATTTTAAAGAAGTCTCCATAAAGCTGTATGAGTAGTATGGATGGGGAATATTAGCAATGTGTGATGCATTTTAGCTTTGATTGCAAAATGTGCAAGCAATAAGCCTTCGCACACTAGAACCGAACCTAATAAGCACTTTCTATTAAATACTCGATTGAATAAAGCAAATTGGTTTCCAGTATTCAAAAAATATGGAGACTATAAGCACTTGAGAAATTATGAGGTATTTAATTGTTGACAGTAGAAATTGACTGTACTTTCATAGAAATGCTAAGCAAACTAAGGTTTTTTGCGATAATAAATACATCATAATTGGGGGGGTTGTAGCTCAATGGTAACGTGTTGACCACAGGACCTGAAGGCTCTGAGTTCGAGCCCTGGCTGGGCGGGGTCATGGGTGCGCATATACTGGGACAAAACAGTTGTCCAGTGCTCCCACGTTTCCAGTAATCCTCCAACTGATGTCAATTGATGATGAATACCAACTTGAAAAGCATATCATGATCAGAATACAAAAAGCATAAATTTAGTCAGCAGTATACCTTTTACTTGCTGATGTTGGTTGACTTAAAGCTAAGCTAAGGAAGTATTATTAAACGAGACAAATGAAACTGGTATCTGCGAACTCAGTTTTACAACCAGAAGGGATATCTATGAAGACAGGCAGCAACAAACAAATACAAGACATGTAACTAAAAACATCTTTGAACACTAAGCTGTGAGACAAGTCCGACATGTAAACATTAATTTAAACTGACAATGGAATATAGTAATGAATGGTAAATGAACTCAGCAACAAGAAACACTTTTACATACTAGGCTATGCACTTAAACTCAATGTATGCGAGTAGGTGGGGTGGAGATTTGAACTCAGAACATATTGCTTGAAAACCGAGTGTCTAAGACAATGCGCTATATTTCATACCAAAATATTTAAAATAGGTTTTATACTGTGACCATTCATGAAGCTAAAAACAGCAATTTTAATATTCTTTACTTTATACTAATTTCAGCGTTCTGTACTGTTTACAAAGATGGGGCTGTGACTCATTGGTTTAGGAAGATGACTCAAAGGGTCATTGGGCCACGGGTTTGAGCCCCGTTCCGCCTACAGAGGTTTAAGCAGTCAGGTAGTAACATTAGCCCTCACACAATAGGTGTGGCTCATTGCCTACTGCACGAATATGCACAAGGCTGCTGAGTGAATTTCATTCACTACTACAGAGTATGACGCATGCACTCTATAAGTGTTAACGGATAATTCCGTCTGATCAACTTCTTTTACTATTATGAAGGATGAAGAAATGAAAATATGTAACCGAACTTAGTTTAGTATACAACACTAAGCAGGAAAACTTAACGATATACTATCAAGTTCTTTATACAATGGTTAGCGGAGCATTTCCCCACATATAGTTTAGAAAGTGAGGAGTGAGTAGGTGACAGAGCCACACATTTCACTGTTTTTATGCTGAACATATTTAGGGCATACTATTCATAATTTCCGCTTATACAAATAAACAAAGGAGATAAGAAAAAATATATAGGTAGACATTTAAGCACATGAATAGTATATACCTCGCTTTGAAGCTTCTCATCACAATTAAGTGGTGAATCAGTAGGCAGTTCATTTTGACATTTTGTTTCTTCTGAGGCATTTGAATTCAACTCAGGGAAGTCATCATCTTGCCAAGCATCGAATTCAACTTCTGTAGTATCACTTATTTCTCCGGAAATGCCTGCAGTTGAAGTTGGTATTGATAAAGTCTTATTTGAAGACTAAAAGCAATAAACAAAAAGATAGAAGAGATGATAAGTTGTAATTATCAATACAAACGTAATGTTCCAGAGTACTTGATGTGTACATTGAAGTACCACTATGCGTTAAGTGAATCATAATTTCTTAATCATCTACACGTCTAAGTGTCGGGGGTCACACAGTTCATAAATGTGATCTAACAGCGAATGAGTAGAATCTACCAACATTGATGGGATAGTAGGTAAACGTATGCTGATGCACCAATTCCAATGAGTATTGGATAATATATGCACGTGCAAAGCCCTATATATATATATATATATATATATATATATATATATATATATATATATATATATATTGGCGGCCTGCTTATATTCCGGGTTACCAAAAGTAAGATGACTCTAAAGGCCACCTTAGCAACAGTTGAAATGATCAATTAGACCTCTGCATTTTATGAAAATCTGCCTTTCCAGCCGAAATGGAGAAGCCTAATGCGACATTTCGATTGTTACTAAAGTGGCTTTAAAAATCGTCCCCAGAAGTATTTCATCAAATTGCTCCTCTTCTACTTGTTCTAACCATTTAAAAGTCAACAAATTGTAAAGCGTACTCTCATACACTCTTAAAATGTTTCCAACCTAACATTAGACGGTTTAACAACACAAGACTATGAGAAAATATCACAGTCGATGACAGTTGGCCCTTGAATGTACAACAGTGAATCATATAGCTGTTACAGGAGCACATAGCTAGAACAGGAAAATTTTCATACAGGATGAATGAACCTCCATCATCAAACTTATGTGTGCTTTTTTCTATCTCACCCACACACAACAAAATACAAACTAGATGATGATCTAAAAACTACTAGTTGTTGTAGATTACTGTCTATTATACTGTTATTATGAATATTATTTAACTGCTATAGTTATTTAATTTGAAAAGATTGTACAAGTAGTAAGTTTGTTGAAATATCACACTGAGAATTCCAGACTATACACAAAGTTATTGTCTGGAATAAGGTGATTATTATTATTATTATTATTATTATTATTATTATTATTATTACATAATTTCCTATTCGTAACTTACTGGTTTGGACAGTTGCCTTTCAACAGACGGGCTTCAGGTTCCAGTCTTGCTCTGGCTACCAAAATTTAGGCAACCTAGTGGTACCATCAGGACTTTCACAATGTATGGCTCATTGTCTAGATCATGAACCTGCTGCTAGGTTACATACAAAACAGGAAAAGACGCTGTCTGACAAATCTCACTTCTTCATCTACATAACTCAATGACTGAGAGGCGAGTGGAAACAACTGAGTCTTGTAAGAAAAAACTCAGTATTTTCAGTAATAAAATGTTACCTTCAACGGAATAATTTCGACACAGATTATCCAATATCCTTACATAGCAGAAACACAGAATTTAGCTTGGAAAGACTCAACAATCATGTGCGAGTTCAAGGACTAGGAGATGGTGGGTAACACCAATTAAGTATGGGCTTCTGAAACTACCTCGCTATTCAGAAATGGGTAAATTTGGTGGAGCGATTAAAAGTCGACTTCCTAGAGAAGTGAGCCATAGCTCATACAAGACGTCGACAAATACGATTACTATGTGCAATAATCATATTCGCAATTCAGCTTATTCATATAGAAATCTGTTTTTATAAACTATGTAGAAGTTTAGGAACTTCGTCGCAAATGCAGTTAAAGTTATATTACTAAAATATTCCTGTTTAACTTAAAACTACATTAAGAGACAGTTGAGTCCTTGTTGTAAGCTGATAAAAAGAAACAAACATATGTATTATGAGGTGGATGGGGATCTCAGTTTTGAGACAGTATTCATCACGGACTAACATCAGTCGAAGAACCACTGAAAACCTGGGAGCACTGGACACCCGTCTCGTCCTTCAAGTTCCACGGGAAAAGTGTTAACTATTCATCCACTGGGTCAGAGTTCAATGACTCACAGTTTCATACTTCTGTCATTTTGCTATATAGCGCGACTATCATCCACTGTCTTCAAATTAGCATCCTTTTCTTTTCCGGCTGGTTAATTCCAAGGGTCACGGCTACCCATTATAACTTCGGGATATCCATCTGGAAGCATGTCACTAATGACCACTATACGGTATTGTATTTTAAGGTAGTATTCATCATCATTTGTAATAATAATGATAATGAAATAAATATGTACGTATCAAAAGAAATGTAAACATAACATGCTTTTTAACACTTAACATGGCCTATTATTAGAGATTATTCTATCAGAATATTCAGTGGAGAATATGAAAAAAAGACTAAAACTAACCTCGTTAACACATTCTGAAACATGTGAACCTGAAGTATTCTGTAAATGAATGCAGTAAATAAAGAATAAACTATTTAAACGAGTTACATGTTGATTTAAAAGGTTGAAAAAGTAGAATAAAATAGAAATATGATATAAAATCTGCAAAGGAAAATTATATTTGCTTATAGAAAACCTTCTGTGTATACTTCTGATAATTAACACCTTATAATGTGAGACGCGTTTGATATCGAAAAGGTATTCTTATGATACATGAGTGAAGAGTATAATTTTCAGTGCAAAATCAAATGAACCACAGGGAATTGATAATTTTCAGCGATTAAAAGAAGTAAGGAGATCAATTGTTATGAACAGCTGAAGTATGAAATAACTCTTGTTATACACAGAATTACTCTGAGTAGAAATAAATCACTCCTAAAATGTGGAAATAGTTTGTGAAGCAACTATATATTACACTGTTCAGGTGGATATTTCTCATGAGTAGCTTTTAAATTAGCCAAATGTTCACCAATGGATTTATTAACCAATGATACTTTTCCACTGGGTATTATAAACTTATGACCTTTGTCAGGTCGACAGTACAGTCAGGTAACAAAAAGCCATTTACTTGTGAAAAATAACCATCTATTAGTTTGTTAATTGTTCATTCATTTTATGGTAGAATGTAAACAGCTAAGTTGTTTGATTGAAGTACGATGAAACAGACTGACAAAGTGTCACTGTTCATCAAGAGGAAACTTTTAATGTGGATTTCACATTTTATCTCATGACTTTTGACTTTGATCATCACTAGTAAAGGAAAACAATAAAAAGAAATAAAGATTCGAGTAGAAATAGCTTGAACGAAGATTACGGAATACAATTAACTGGTGACATTGTAATTGGATTATGCCGTGTATAATCCTGATCAATAATCACTTGGGAGTTTGCTGCATCGGTATTAAATAACGTGTTAATGATACAGAATTTTCATGAAGAAAATATATTAAAAATCTAATCTTTTTAGCATATGATGAACTTCAGTGCGGCGTATCACATTATCAATAGAATAAGTATAACATTTGTTAGAACAGTAAACCTGTGAAACGTTAATGAAGGACAGACAAAATCTAAGCGGGATCTCGTACACAAGTTCATTCGTCCAAGGTACCATACTTCACAGTAATATACAGAGAACAAGTGGATAGAAGAAGAGTGATATCAAAGTAAACGAAGCTGTGAGACAATAAACAATTTGAAGACGGAGGTTAGTGCAAATAGTCAAGCCTTAGAAGATGTCAAGGAGTGAATACATTTGCACCACTGTGACCGATTTTCAGCCATGTCACCAACAGTTCTCTCAACCATTGAATCCTTTCGTCTTAGGGACCCCAGGCCATGTAGTCTACATCTCCTCACATGACTTAGACCAATAGTCAGAGACTGCATGGACTGGTGCCACATTTTGCTCTGGCCACCTTGAATCCCCTCTTCCAAGCTAAACCAGTTTCCCCTAACATGACACGTCGAGGTAGGGGGTGGCTCAGGATGCGCAGTACATATCCAAGCCATTTCAGTCGACTGACTTGGCTTCCTTGCCTAGTACCTTATGCATAGCCTTAATATTTCTCACACGGTGGTTACACTATACGCAAGCAATGCTACAAAGACACCTGTGATCGAAACCGCCTCATATCTCCTACTTTTAACGGTAATGTCTCACGGCCGTATAACAGGACAGAACGAACTGGAGGTACATACTAGCCTTTTAATTTGTATTCGGATATCTCGCCGGTGTCAAAGATGATACAACGCTTATAAACCAAGAAGGTAAGATATACAGATGTTACATGATACAACACCCTGTTAGAGACAACTTAGAACTGTATCTAAAAGCTTCAACATGTATCATCAGTCCAATTCATTACCATATGAAACAAGCAGTGATTTATGCGTGGTTAAAAATGAAAACAATTGGACAGATGATAGTAACATAAGGATAAAACGCTTACCTTGGATAGATCACTTTTAGTAATAGACTCATGACGGGATTTTATAAGGTCTTTAAAAACTTTTAATTTGGCGAGTACGTCTTCAATGCTTTCAAAATTCGAATGTGAAAATAACACTGCCTGTGATACAAAAGATCCTGGTGACGATGGGATATTACGACTGATTACATTGAACACAACTTGATCATAGGCATTCATTTCATTCGCAAGCTGATCAACTATCTCACCTAATTCACTAGATTTATCGAAAAATTCCGGACATTGCTGATGATACGGCAGCTCATTCCTACTAGATAAATCATAACTTGTTGTCGAAGCATCTACAACATTTACTGAAACATACGAGTTTACACAGTTTGCTGAAGAAAATTGCGTTCCAACTGTCAGTGATGAAATTGGTGCTGTTTTTTCATATTCCGACTCAGTTTGCACTTCTGCAGTTGAAGATTCAATGAGTAACTGAGCTTGAACACTATAAGGAAAAAAACTAGAATATTTACAAATCATCTATATACTATAAAAGGATATAAGAAACAAGGATGCAGCAACACTGACTTCAGTTTAATGAAGCACTGGTTCGAATCTTTGTATTACTGCCCGTTTTTATGATGTCACAGTTATGTTTTGATGCTGAATAATAAAAATCACCAAACCCAGTACCACGGTTATTCATCCCCGGCTTTTAATAATCCATTATAATTACAACCATATAATTATGCCCAGAAACGACGATAGAGAACGACTATGCGACATATTATGATCAGATTTCTCGAGTAACTGGCTCAGTGCTATCTACCAAGCATATGGAGACTTTGTCGCTTACACAACATACAAAAAGAGGAAGTTGTATAAGCTTGTGCAGTATGATGTGGAAAGTCTATGATTGGTGGTACTGGTGAGAGTTAAGTCCATAACGTTATTTACTTGGTGATGGCTAGCATTTCGTCCTATTCGTAACTCGTCAGCTGGAAGTATGTACATTCCAGTGAGTGATGGTGTTCCCACTGAGACTGCAACCCATAAGACATCGCTTCGAACGCCACTTCTCGTGCGAAGAGCAGCATTTGTTGATCACCAACGCTTGGAATTTCTCACTGGTGATTATTATGGACTTAATTAGTCAGTCTCTGGTGGCATATGGGCTCTAGACGTCCGTTCAAGGAGCCCTTATTGCTAACAAAGACCAATCATTTCGGTCAAGTATTATACTGCAAGAAGGAATCCAGGTATTCAGCAGTACATGATATCAGTTCATGAGTAAAATAGATCACTGATTATTCCAGTCTTCAAGAAAGGCGAGAAGTCCTCTTGTGATAACCACAGAGGAATCAGCCTGACAAACGTAGTATCCAAAATCCTAGGTTCAATAATTCTCCGACGCCTGAGTAGAGCTCGGGAACATCAAGCCCGAAAAACCAAGCAGGCTTTAGACCCGGCCGCAGGTGTATCCACCAATATTCACACTGCACCAGGTCCTGGAACACAGGCACGCTTACAGACGCCCGAAAATAGCTGTATTTCTCGACTTGAAGGCGGCACTTGACACCGTTGATCGAGAAGTCTTATGGCAGTGTCTCACTGAAAGGCGTGCCTAGTAAGTACATCACCTTATTGCAAGCTCTCTACTCGAACACTTGTGGGCTTGTTAGAGCCTATGGTGAGTTGTCTAGGGAGCTATACTCATCGAGTGGTGTCCGTCAAAGGTGTTCACTGTCTCCATTCTTATTCATTTTTATCAAACATATTCTTATGGAGGTTTCCCTCTCGTTACCTAATTACACAGATGTTGACCCAATCACAGGTGAATTTTCTTTAGATCTAGTTCTGTTAGGTGAAGACTCTGACAAGATACAGAGTCTTCTGAACACTTTGAGTGGTAATTTCAGAATGTTTGGGATGCGATTTTCACCACCCAAATGCAAACTTTTGCTCCAGGATTGGTCGAGTGTGTCGACCACTTCACTTACCTGGGAAGTTGGGTCAACCGTGGCGGATTAGTTGCCGATGAAATCTCTGCACGGATACAAAAGGCTCGGTTGGCTTTTGCCAACTGACGGCATCTGTGGTGCCACCACTATATCCGATTGTCTATTGAGGGTCGCGTGTACTGCACAGCAGTCCACTCTCTCCTACTCTATGGCTGTGAAACATGGCCGCCATTGAAGGTGGAAGACATGAGAAGGCTGGCTTCAGGTGTTCGACCACCGTTGCCTTCGTAGTATAGGGGGTATTACGTGGTGTCACCACGTGAGTAATTCAGAAGTCAGGTGTTGAGTTTTAGGGAGCAGAGGTCAATCAGTAGACGAGGTTATAAACCTTCATCGATTGAGATGGTTGGGACACGTACTACGTATGCCTAGTCACCGATTGCCTCGTCACACAATGTTGGTCGAAGTAGGTCCAGTCTGGAAAAAGGCCTGAGACGGCCAGACTAAAACATGGGACCAATGTATGAAGTCTTTGACTGTTGGTTTGAGCCATGTAGGGCGATGCAGACTGGGTGATTGGGGTCGGCGGGACAAGAGGAACCAGTTGGTTGGAGACTGACTCTAGGTGATATGGCTCTGAACAGATGTCAGTGGCGCAGATGTGTACATACATTATCCTCATCTTAACGACGTTATACCGGATCTCACCATTTTCTCATTCTTCCTTTCTCTCTTTTAGTACTTTATATTTCTTTTGAGTGAACTTTTTTTTCTTCATCTTCCACTTCACTGCCTTTTTACTTGATGTACTGATATGAGCTGTGGCAACTCGGACCACTACGCAGTAATGCCTGGTCCTATGTTGATTTGGATGGTTATGGAAATTAGTTGTGAAGCTGTGGCCCATTGGCTTTCAACCAATTAGTCGCGGGTTCGAACGCCGCCTCACCTACCCAGGTTTAGGCGCAACCAGGTAGTTACATTAGCCCTCAAACAACAAGTGTGGTTGATTGTCTACTGCACGAGTGTGCACATAGTTGCTGTGAGAACTTCCACTTTGAATTCTGGATTAAAATTAACGCCTAATAAATTTGGCTGAGTTGCTGATGTACCGTCTGTTTTTGTGTCAATGATGCCATAAGAATCTCTCTTAAGTCCATCTTTTTTTCAGATGAAGTTTATACACTGAGTATAGGCTTTATCTAATCAAGAACAAAAAGTGGTATTGAAAACAGAGACCCAAGTAATAAATCATACTACCTAAAACACCATATTTTTAATAGTAATTAAAAGTGAAACGTTAATGCTGCACGAATAGAGGATGTGTACAAATATCAGGCTAAGACATGCAGGGTACTAACTTTCGTGATGATGGAATGTCTCGAAAGCACAATAATCTTCGGCTAGAGGTGAACAGCAATATGCTTCAAACCTGCTTACGATAAAACACTTGGATTTATCACATATGAGTATTTCGAGAAGTGATTATTTGCATTTAATGTTTTCTTCTCTTCACCTCCAACTTCTTTCAACATCTTTGTTCTCGCATAACCTTAAACATTTGTGCACTTACTGCAAGTTCGTTAATATTTCAAGAATATAATATTCAGCAGCTTTGAGAATGAACTAAAAATACGGTATATGTAGTTCAACAACCAGTCATCTCGACCGATAGTAAATTGAGACGATAGAACTTAATGAAGTTTCGATCTAACTGAACAATGATATACAGGCGTATAACACACGGTCGTGGTCATATGACACTATCTTATCGCCAAAAGCTTAATAAAAGATGATTCCGAGATAGTATAAAATAGAATGCTTGACTAATCAATCAATTAAATCTTCCCTGATGTAACACAGATGTCTAACATACAGGGCAGATGCTGCAGACAACATCGTGATTTCTACAGACTTAACTATATTGTAATAAACTTTACTTGTTTTAATCAGATATTACTATGAACAGGTGAAATAACATCATAACTACTAGAGTGATTGACACATTCAGATGATTCCATATTGGATTTGTTTATTTGATTTATAACACACAGTGATCTAGTATTATTTACTTGATGACGTTTCCAGCATAAATTATCATTGTTCATAATCATATCAATGTAATCACACTACTTTCGACATTTGATTTTTATAGTTATGTCAGCTTATATGAGTTGTTTTTACTGGTAGCAAAATTTTCCGTGTCTCTGGTATAGGTGTTGCATCATTTCTATGACATGTGTTGCGTGATGATTCGATGAACAAAGATTCAGTAATCAATCTCTCTCTCCACCTAATCGGACAGTGGCTATGTCCCACCCTATTGTGTGGTTGTGTGTCAATGCATGAATAGCAATAGCCGAGTTTTTTTCTAGATTATTGGTCTTATTTAGGTCTGTTATTCTTTATTTAGCTAAATTCCTATGTTCGGCTATTCTGACTGACCCCGAATGACTAGTTTGACCTATATACTTGACCTCACAGTCATTACATGGTATTTGATAGATTATATTACTTTGCTTAATTGCTTCTATCGGATCCTTAAGCCGACAAAGTTTATCTCTGAGTGAGTTTGTGGGTTTAAATGCCACCCTAATTCCAGCTCTGCTGAGGATTCTACATAAAGTTTCTGTGAACTTTTTACTCATGTTGTCGTTATTAGTCACACTCGTGTGACTGTTATTTTTTCGTGTGTGTCCGTAAGAATTTCTTTATAAACTGCAGAGGATAATTATTAACTATCAGCGCTTCTTTTACATGTTTCAATTCCTTGTTTAGGTTCTTGCTCTGACTAGTCAGTTTTCTAGCTCTATCACTTAGACATTTGACTAAGCCTGCCTTAACCGACATTGGATGGGATGATTTGAAGTCTAGATACCTTTTGGAATGTGTCGGCTTTCTGTAGACAGTAGTATCCAAGCCACCGTCTGTTCTTCGTTTTATTCTGCAATCCAACATGGGTAATTCTCCTTGTTCATTTTCTACCTCGCAAGTGAATTGGATCGCGTCTACTACTGAGTTTATATGCATGAAGAAATTGTCGATATGTTCCGATTTCAACACAGTAAATGTGTCATCCACATATCACCACCATTTTTTGATGCAGGACTAAACGTGTGTCAATTCATGTTTTCCTAACTATCCATAAATATATGTGCTATGATTGGGGATATTGGTGATCCCATTGCTACTCCTTCTGTTTGTCTGTATATTTCGTCCTGAAACTTGAAGACTGTGGAGGTCAGGCATAACTGTATGCCTAATATAATCGCATCAACGAATATCTTAGTTCTATGAGTAAGTTCCGAGTCAATATTTAGTTGACTTCCGATTGCCTCCAGTGCCATATTGATTGGTATTTTAGTATACAGATTAGTTACATCGAACTAACCATTTTTTCATCCTTTTCTATGTGTAGGTCATTAAGCCTAAGTTGTAGCTCGTAAGACTTTACTAGTCTGTAATTTGAACGGTTCCTAATAGGGCATAATATCGAAGCTAAATACTTTGCTAGTTCATATGTTGGGGTATTTCTGAAGTCAACCATGGGTCTAATGGGATAACCTGGTTTATGAACCTTAATAGTGCCATAAATTCTAGTAGGATTATTAGTTTTAGGCATTAAATTAAACCGTCTAGACGCACCTAGAGATGGTTTCAGTCGGCGTATCAGATCGGCTGTAGATTTCCTTATTTTATTTATAACCGTGTCTAAGGGCTTCTTGATTTCTTCATATGGTCCTGTTTGGATATATTTGTCAATTTTGTTGAAGTAATCCAATTTGTCCATAACTACTGTTGAATTGCTTTTATCAGACTTAACAATTACTATATTATTGTCATACCGTAGACTATTCAGAGCTGAATTTTCAAGTTTTATTAAGTTCCGCTGTCTTTTCAGTGTTAACGAACATTGTGCTCTAACCTGTTCAGCTGTTGCTGCATCCACCGAGCTTAACGCCACTTCTATGCTAGGTATGACATCATCTGGTTTTAGATAACTCATAGTCACATTGAAGTTTAGTCCTCTTTCGATTACTTTCGTCTCAGCTGAGACAATGAATATATACAATATCTACACTATTGTGACAACTCATATAAGGTGACATAACTATAAAAATCAAATGTCGAAAGTAGTGTGATTACATTGATATGATTATGAACAATGATAATTTATGCTGGAAACGTCATCAAGTAAATAATACTAGATCACTGTGTGTTATAAATCAAATAAACATATATATATATATATATATATATATATATATATATATATATATATATCATACAACAAAGGTTACATGATATGGAACATATGGAACATAATATGGAATTAATTTCTACCACAGTGCCCAAGTTTTACACCCATATTAATGGGACATTCAGGTGAGTTTGACGCAGACTTATTTACTCAGAAGTGAGGCTTACATCACAAAGTACAAAAGTAAATTCTAACGGGGAAAGAAAACATGTGTAATTGAACTGTATGATGACGATTTTATACAGCAAGTGAATCAGCCTAAGACAATTAAACAGAAACAGTTATAAGTTCGACGTCTCGCAGATATACAACAAACTTACGATGTTGAACAAATTGATCGGTGAGGAATTTCTTCAGTAAAAGCGTCTAACAAAAAGAGAAAATATCCTATGTTAAGGAACTTGGTAAAAGGAGATTTTATTGTAGTGAAATATTGGATGAGTAGCACAAATTGCCAGCTTTTTTCACTATCAAGAATACATTTTGCTATCAGCAACAATAAATATAGGACTGTATAGCAGTGTCTTGTGTCTAATAACCAGAATAACCATAAGCAGGTTATAAAAAGGGGTGAAAACAATGAACTACTCACGATGATTCTCTTCTCAATAACAAACAAATCAAGTGTCAACTGTTTGAAGGTCAAACAACTGTAAGTGAAATAAAAATCCTGTCAGCAGTCGAGTCTAGTAGCTCAGTTGGGTTGGAAACCCAGTGGTCGCTGGTTCGAATCCCCCGCAGTCTACATCTTTATTCCACCTTCAATCATCACGCAGGAATAAAGAAACATTGAATTTTTTTTCTTCTAAGATTCTCATGTTCAACTAAGATTTCACAGAAAGAATTATAAACTATTCAGCTTTCAGGTATCCACTCATACGTATATGAAAATAAATTGTAAATCCTAGACAGAATAATACCAAACAAGTTAGTGTAAAATAGAAGCAAGTTTTTGTTTTACGCGTAACGATGAAGAAACTATTTCATGTGGTTTCTTTTTCATTAGATTATTATTTGAGTCAGTGACAAATGAAATAAAGCCTGCGGAATGAACGAAGTGCATCTATCATCGAAACCTTTGTGAAATAAACGATAAGCGAAACAAATAAGTATGCACTAATAATGCTCATCAAGTCCGTTTCATCTAAACATAAAACGTTCACTAGGAGTGTGTCTAACACGATTGTCCACATACTTTAAAGAACCAAAAACAGCCTGAAATCTTTTACAGTCAGTCGACTTATTTTAGAGTTTTAAGTAAAGACATATGATTATATGTGTGAATATTACATTGGTTGAAGAAGCAAAATCAAGTATTCTTCTAGAAAGGACTAAAAACAACCAAGGTGACTGTAAATATACACACCATTGTATATTATACACGTTATAACTTCACAATGCACAGAAAGTTATTTTATCGCCTTTATTATTTCCGAGAAATCGAGACACAAACAAGGATAAAATCAGGATGTTATCACTCAAGCATTCATAAATGTATAACAACGTATTCCTTTTCATCAGAATAGAAACCCAATTGTTATTCGAAAGAGGTAGATTAAATTTCGTAAGTACTAAGCGTAATTCATAACACGTATCATACATGGATTCAATCACTGATACCTCCGAAGTACCTAAGAGTATAATATGTGGGACGAGATTGTTATGGAGTGCGACAATATTCTCTAGATTCCTTAAAGAAGCCTGAAAAGCCTTCACAGCCAACCACAGTATGTCGGATGTTCGAGAGAAAGCACGTGATCATACGTGTGAGACTCAGGTTTGTTAAAGGGCTTTCTGGAAAAGTGTAGAACTTTCCAAGGCCAGCAACAAATGTATATAAACCGTTAATTTTCGTGCACATTTGAATGGATAATAAACCTCTATCATTTTTGTCGTTGCTTTTCTGTTTTCAAGGAACCCAACGGTCAAGGGTGAAGTCTAAGGTTATTATTCAAGAGTCCACTCCTATACAGTTAAATATATCTATATCAAATAACAAGAATATATCAGAAATACATATGGAAACCATGTAGAACCTCGTACATAAATACATCAGTCCAACTTGCCACACTTCCCAGTAGCTTGTAGAGAACAAGTTGATAGAAAAAAACTGGTATAAAAGTAAACGAAGGTGTATGAGACGAGAAAGAACTTAAAAATGAAGGTTAGTGTAAATGTTTAGACATCAAAGACTGCATACATCTTCACCATTGTGACCAATTTTTAGTCATTTCACCAAGACTCTCCGACCACTAATTCCTATCGTCCCGAGGACCCAAACCAGATTTTCTGGACCTCCCTACATGGCACATACCAACAGTCTAAGACTTCATGCACTGGTGCCTCGTCTTCGTCTGACCACCACGAGCCTTATTCCAAACCAATCTTACTTCGGCTAAAACTGTGCGTAGGGCTGAGCAGTGGCTCAGGATGCGCAATAAAGTAACCGCAGTCACTGGTTGTTCACAACGTGGATAATTGGCTTGCCTTTCTTCGCTCATACACTTCGCCCAACGTTGACACTGCTCATATGATAGTTCCAGCATAGGTTAGGGATGTTGCGAAAACACCAATGTTTAAAAACCTGTAATCTCTTCATTATTACTTTCAGTGACCATATCTTACAAACCTGTAAGATAACAGAACAGATTGCAGCACAGTATACTCATCATTCAACAAGTAGTCGCATATTCAACCAAACACCGGAAAATAGTTAGCATCACAAGCAGATGATTCACAGCAGTTAAAAAGAACACTGAGATCGCAAAACAAACAACGGGTTTATTCAGACTGGCAAATAAAAACCCTATAATATTAACAGATACGCGTTACAGTTCAGAAGCTCAGACAACTTAAAACGGACAGATGAGGAGAAAAGAAAAATAGTAAGTACATTCTCCCACAAGTTGTGTTTTCACTATTTACTGTTACCAAGTCAAACGGTGCACAATGAAGACTGCACGCAAGTATAATATAGGGTGGAAAAACAGTGAAGTAAAGCAAAATATAAAACATCGATAGTTTATGACGCAACCAACTAGATGGTGTTCATCGTCCACATGAAATAAATCAAAACACTGAGGAGTGTGATGCACATAAGTGATGCATTTCAAGCAATCTGATCACACATTTATGCAAAGAACAAAAACAGTCTGAGTTTGGAGAATCATGTCGCCATCCACCCCAAGCAAAATATTAAGCCACACCATCCTGAAGAGACTAAAAGATGCGCCAGATTCGAAATTACGAACAGGCTCGATTCAGGAAAAACAAATCATGTGCGGATCAAATTGCAACGCTACGCATCATCGAAGAACAGGACATAGAATGGCAGTCAACTCAAATCAACCTCAACTTCATCGGCTTGGAAAAGGCCTTCGACAGAGTCGACCGACAAGTAATTTGGCACGCAGCTGCTTCAACTCTACACCTTTAGTGCCACAAACCTTTATCAACCTCATTCAACAGTTATATCCCATAAGATGCTACATGACAAGTGATTCAGAACACATAGAAAGCTCAGTGATGCCTTCCAAGTAAAGACAAAAAAGAGTAAGACGAGCTTGCCACCTACTTTCAACAATCATCTTCTTGATTGTGGTCGACTCGACTCAACTCGACTCGACTGGATCATGCAACAAACCATCCCTCCATACACACCAATCTACGACCAGGCATTACTGCGTAACCGTTCCAGTTGACACATCTCATATCAATACATCAAGTAAAAAGCCAATGAGGCGCTAGATGAAGATAAGAGAATACAGTCAAAAGAAACAACCAACTGTGAGCACCTGTGAGAAGATAGCCATACGCTGTTTGACCGGCAAAAAGACCACAGAAGAGGATTCGCATTTCACCCATGATCATTTATGTCTGTCTAATCTAGCACAAACTCGAAGATCTACAGGCAAAAAATAACAGGTTCGTAGAACAGGAAGGGCACCGAAAACCCAACTTCCTTCACGTGAACGAATGTAGAGAAGACAGAGGTGATGAAGATACCCAACCACCATCACCACCACCAACACCACCACGAACAACAACAAGCACCAGTCACCAACAACAGGAGAAATCTAAACGAAGTTGTCTCTTCACCTAACCACCTAGGCAGCAGCATCGCCTCAACTACAAGCGCCACAGGAACAAATGAGCAGGTCAAAGCCAGACAGGATTGGAAGGACAGAAAGACAGGCATTCCTTCATCAGTCTGTGCAGATCAGTGTGAAGGTCTACTCCACTCCACTCCACTCCACTGCACTGCACTCCACTCCACTCAGCATAAAGCGTAAACAACATCCGCATTCTCAACAATAAATCAGTCAATCCAGTACTTCCATATGATGGTTCAGAGACTTGGCACCTTACGAATAGCATTCCCAACAAACTACACACATGCATCACATCAACAGCTGCCACCTACGCTCACTCCATACTCAAGATCAGATGGCCACATTAGTAAGAATAAGCAAAAAGAAACTCAGGTCTGCCAACCAACCAACCAAACAACAACATATCATCCAACATATATGCAGAAGAAAGTGGAGATGGATTCAATTGGACATACACTGAGAAGACTGTATGGAGATATCACGCGCCAGCCCAGGAACTCGAGTTGAACGCAAATGGGGAACGACGAGTTGGGTGTTCCAGCTGAGGGTGACATGTAGGAGAGATCGTGTGAGGAAGAAATGAAAGATTATGGATAATCGTGGAGCGAGGTTTCGAAGACTGGATAGAAGAGAGTGAAATGGCGACGTGCTACTGAAACCCGATATTACACTAGCAACCTAAAGGCTAGTTGATAATAATAATGATGATAAATCAAATACATTGAAAATAAAAAGATTATAAAATGGAAGAATTACATATTTTCATCCCAAATGTAGCATGAAGACGAAATAAAGATTACCAAAGAAGTTTGGAGGTAAGGAAACGTTGTTTTCGAGTACACAAAGGGTTGGTGAGGTACTGTGCAGCTAAGGTTTCAAAAAGCTAAGTAAATTTTCATAACTAACATGTAAAGCTGTTTGGTCGGCAATCCTACAGTCTGCTTTTATTTTGCATTTACTTCTCGATGATGGTGTCTCCCTACCTCGAGCATTTATCTGAGTGTTGGAATGTCCTTCTCTCTCCAAATACTCAGGGGTATATTTGTCCACCAGTGACCTTGCATGTATATATCCACACACATACGTAAATTTGTATATGCAATGTGATTATTTATGTAGTGAAAACACTGATTTTAAGGTGTGGGTCTTCCCTAGGATGATAAGTTGAGCTGCATAATACGTTGGTTTTAATGACTGAATAAAGACTTCACTTCACAACCATACGGTTCCATTCCCTCTGTATGATAAGCTAATGTACACGTCTTTTTCTGTATAGGATACTGAGTAGATGGAGGTATTGAATCGTTTTTATACTGATTGGTGCACTTTAATGGATATATGTTATCCAGTAATATCTCTGTCAAGAATTTGATTTCTTCTAAAGTATCTGCTTTGAAGATACACTGAATCCTCTTAAATAAACACTTTACTCAACCCCATGTGTACAACGATACACAGAAGTTGGCGAAATTTTAGGTTCTATTCAGTCTAAGCAGGTCTTTTTCACATAGAACGTATTTACACATCCTCCCAAATAGTTAACAAAGCATCCATAAACCCCAGATGATTTTCACTTTCTATTTAACAAGTTTAACTCATATTGCTTTGTACTGTATTCAGAGGAACTCACAAGCAGCCTTTAGACCATTAGATATTAGCTGTTAGGCGGGTTTACTTAGGCTTTACGAAGTCATAGGAAATTCAACCCAGTCCCCACCTTTGAGTATTCAAAAACAATTTTCCCCTACCTTCAACCTTTCTTGTTAATCTTTATTTCGTTTTGATATCACAATTGGTTTTATCTTCAAATCTCTGATTACTTTAATTGCCTGACCTCAAATTGTTTCTGCTCATCGTACAAAATGCTTAGACAAGTACTTGTATGATCAGATTGCTCGAAATGTACTGCGTACATACACCATATTTCTCAAATGGGCACCCCCACCCCATCCACTTCTTAATGACATCATACAGATTCATTAAAGAGATTTAATGTTTTAAAGCATCAAAGTACATTGATTGGTCACCGGAGGGCAATGAATTTCGTGTTGTCTAGTCCTAAGTCCTGACCAAATTATTTATCCTCCAGTGACCAATCAATGTATCTAATCTAGTCCTACAGGGGCAAACTGCGGCCAAAATAGCCTAGTAGTAAAGTCATTGAGTTTAAACATTGGGTGACGCGGGTTCGAACCTCAGAGCAGATATCACTCCTCTTGAAGTTGCAGATACCCTTTACTGAGGAGTACCAACAAGCATGAAACCTTGGTCCACGGCTTCCTGCCGATTGCCTCCAAGCAACTAAAAAAACACCTAAGTTTTTCAAAGCCTGTTCCGATATGATTTAAGTCAATATGAACACTAACCGATGTATTAGTTACACATATGAGTGTTTACATTTCTGAATAAGGCAAACAAGTTAGGTATGTTTAATTCTAATTGGCATACAGTCGGCTTATTCAGGAACAATTTCCGACAGTGTGCAATCTGCTTGATTACTAAACATGAATTAACAAATATGAGTTATTTTCACAGAAGGTCATACACTCGTGACAAATGATCATAATCGTTTCGGACAAGTTATAGAAAAGTTAGGCAACAAAAGATTACCTTTCTTTTCAACTTGTTCAGTAGCCTGCATTGATGAATCTTTCATTTTATTATAATCAGTCTAAAAATGAACAAGAAAAATACGTAATATGTAAAAATTGTTAAAAAAAAGGCATCTCAAGATCATTATACAAGTTTACTATCTTGAAGGAAAATTTTTTTGGAAGGAAAATGTAGTAGAAAGTGATTATACCTCATATTGATGACACCAAAAAATGGTATGAGAGAAAAGTATTACAAAATAATACCTGAAAACCTAATTTTAACATCATTCAAAATCTCTAATCCCCCCATTTATTTTTCGACTTTAGTTGATTTATACTGTCTTTATTACAGATGATCGCTCTCTCTCTCTCCCTCCCTCCCTATGTATATTTAACCAAAATATTGACTTCCCGAGGCCTGTTAGATAGAACTTGTGATATTATTTACTTGTTGGAATAGAGAACTAACTAATTCTTCCTATTCGGCACTAGCCAGTTGGATATACCTGCAACCCAGTGAGTGAGTAGTAGTGTTCTTAAAAGTTAGGACAAGAAGTGGGTCTCGCGACTCAGTAGCCCAGTTGATAATGCTTTAGCGTTTGAAGTGATGGGTGGCATAATCTCTCACTGGGATGCAGTTACTTTGAGCTGACTAGTCCCAAGTAGGCGAAAACGCATATTCCGGATTCCACTGCTAGCCATCAACTAAAGAATCTCAAAATAAAGTTAGAAGCAATATTGAGGCGTCCATTTAAGGAACCCAGAAGCCAAGAGTGGCCAATCGATAATATTCAGTATATTAGCCAGCAGGAAATTACAAGCGTCAATAAACAAATAACTTGTGATGGCGACTGCTGGTTTAAACACAAAAAAAGCATGACGACTAGAATTACCAACTGACTTAATTCGACTAAGTAACAATTACTGAAATTCGGAAATTTGTGAGGATTTATTCATTGATTTCATTATGGACTGACGCCAGTTGAAGAAATATTGGAAACCTGGGAGCACTGGACAAGTTTTTCGCCCTAGTATGGGACTCCTCAGCAGTGCAGACCTATAAGCCCGCCAGTGATCGAACCCAGGCCTTTAAGGTTCCGCGGCCACCACGTTACTGTTTACTCACTGGTCCACACTTTCTACTTTTGTCAGCTCACGATATAGCGCGACCTCCATCCTGATGAATAACAGCCTAGAATTAATCAATAAATCCGCGCAAGCCTTCACATTGATTTAATTTAATCCTTAACGATGAGTAGTTTCGAGATGTGATTCCCAAAGTTCTACTGAAAGTTGTGACCGGTGGGGCCAAGCAAGTCGAACCTCAGGACAGTTACCCAACGACGACATTGGACGAAAGTCGTGAACTCACAAAATTAGGATATGAATAACTGGATTCCGACGCAGTCGCTCAATGGTAACGGGTTGACCACGCAACCTGAAAGTTCTGAGTTCGATTCCTGGCTGGGCGGAGTTATAGGCGCGCAGTACTGAGGAGTCTTATATTAGGACGAAATAGCTGTTCAGTGATTCCGATGATTCTCCAACTGATGTTAGTTCATTAAAATTACCAACCTGAAATCAATTACTGAAATATCCAGCACCCATGTACTTAATGACCTTAATAAACTTGACCGAGATGAACTACAGAACTATCAATAGTCATAGTGCAGCTACCGTTGTACAATAATGTAAGTCATTTCAAGGCATTAGTTTTGAGCACATTCAAGGTCAATCCAAGATAGTAAGTGAGTACAGAGAACTTCTACTTCCGAAATGCATAATTTAATCGACAGCTGGGTTACTTCTATTAATAAAGGGATTTTAGTAACTTTTAACCTGAAATCAGTGTGAAGATCCACTCCACTCCACTCCACTCCACTTCACTCAGCATAAAGCGTGAACAACATCCGCATTATCAACAATAAGTCAGTCAATCCAGTACTTCCATATGATGGTTCAGAGACTTGGCACCTTACGAATAGCATTCCCAACAAACTACACACATGCATCACATCAACAGCTGCCACCTACACTCACTCCATACTCAAGATCAGATGGCCACATTAGTAAGAATAAGCAAAAAGAAACTCAGGTCTGCCAACCAACCAACCAAACAACAACATATCATCCAACATATATGCAGAAGAAAGTGGAGATGGATTCAATTGGACATACACTGAGAAGACTGTATGGAGATATCACGCGCCAGCCCAGGCCCTCGAGTTGAACCCAAATGGAGAACGAAGAGTTGGGCGTCCCAGCTGAGGGTGACATGTAGGAGAGATCGTGTGAGGAAGAAATGAAAGATTATGGATAATCGTGGAGCAAGGTTCAAAAGACTGGATAGAAGAGAGTGAAATGGCGACGTGCTACTGAAGCCCTGTGTCTCAAGTAACTTTTAATCACTGGAACAGATGATGCAAAAGAATTTTAGTGAGAATAAATGGCCTGGAAACTATGGAGTAGGTGCAAAATTTAACAATAAAATTCAGACGTAAAACACACCAACTTACCTGTAATGAGACTTCACAATAGAATGGTTTGTTAGTTTCCACTACATCAATCAATTCAGTTGAAGGGGCTAGCACAAAATCAAATAACAAAATGTCTAAATTATATTTAAAGTAAACCACTTGATAAGAATTAATTAGTTGCACTTGAAATATCAGTGAGAAATTGTAATTTATTCGCTACTAACCATATTTTAAAACAAAATTTAGCTATTCTCCCCATACACATGGTACATTGCCCATTTAATTAATTTACGAGGAGAATTATCAAATATTAGAGACTTTAATGAGTAGCTTGGTAAAACGAAACCTGTTTTCTCAGGTTCCACTACTAAACCCAACACAATATAAGTTGCGTTAGGGATGCCGATATCCCTTATATTCCATACTTACAGTTTTGTATATATTTGAACTGGTTTATTTGCTCTCTCTTCTCGCGCATGGGTCATATTTCGTATGATTCGCTATTGTTCTGATCGGCTCCTGCCTCTTTAAATGTACTAATTATCTCTTGTCTTTCAATGTTACTATAAAATCTATAAATAGGGTCAGTTTTCACTCATAAACATTTTCAGTCCGAGATACTATAAACTCAACTGGCTTCCAGTCTTTTGATTTCTCTTTGCGAATCACTCGGGTTGCATCGTCTCAACTCTCGACTAACAATCGTTAAGTAGTTCCGTTCGTTCTGAGAACTCCGCATCATAACAGTTGACTATTCTGGTAATAACGTCCTTCAATTGCAGTAACCAACGAAGCACAACTCAAGATAAACGTAAATTCTTATGACATGGTGTATTTACATCTTGAAAATAGCCGCTAACAGATTAGAAATAAAACTTCAAATAAGAGTGGTCATTAGACTTTACTAATGAGATTTAAGACACTCAACTAAAACGAACCAAAAGTGCACCGCAATAGTGAGCCTCCTAACTTAGTGGTAACATTGTAAAATGACAGACAGAATCCAGTCAGCACTGAAGACTAGACAACACGTAATTGGTTGCTTTCTAGTGACCAATCAAAATAGTCATTAAAAACTTTGAACGAATATCATGAACTGCGTACAGATTTTTGAAGCAGGTTATGGATCACATTGATTGTATCACGGAGCGGGATTTTAAAATGAAACCCACTACTAGTTAAAGGCTAACTGTTTTAGTCACTGAGCCTCAGTCCAACAGAAACAAGATAAAAAGGACCTATTCTTTTACAACAGTTAAATGTTGGAATTCATAGGACAATTCAAAATCTTGAAAGAGGTTTATTGACTGTTAGTCAGTCTTAAACTCGATTGAAACGCATTAATTAGTGAATATGAATACTCTCCGCATACCCTTACTGTGGTTGAAGAACGAATGCCGAAAAGACTGCTAATAAAAATATCTGGCAGACAAGTCAAAGCAGAACACCGCATAGAAGTGAATCAGTTCAAGTTGCCAATATGACTGATATAGATAAAAGAAATAAATGGCAAATAATGGTCTTATGATATCTCAAAAACGTGTGGAACCAGTATGCATATAATTTTCAGTTTGAAATTAAATGAATCTGAGATTTAAGTGTGAATAATTTCTATGGAACTGTAAAATAGAAAAATGTGAGACATAAGTGATTTAAAATGCTTTACAGTGTAAAAGTGACTAACATAACTACTAAGAGACACAAAGATAGACAAAATCAATGTGGAACCTAGTGCACAAATGCATCAAATCAAGTTATCACACTTCACAGTTGTACACAAAGAACAGGTGGATAGGAAAGGGACTGATATCAAAGTTGACAAAGTTGTGTGAGACAATAAACGATTTGAAGATAACGGTTAGTGCAAATATTCAAGCATCAGATGTCAAGGTATGAGTGCGTCATTGTGATCGATTTTCAGTCATGTCACCAACAGCTTTCAACCACTGATACTTATCGTTCCGAGGACCGCAGCATACTCATCCTTTGATAGATAGTCTGATATCGCTCTGGCCGGTGCTACAGACGATGCACGTTGGTAAATGTCGAACGGGCCTTCGGTATACAAGCTGAGATTTTGATCAGCAACCAGCGCGTTTGGGTCGAAAAGTAAGTGAAGTGGTCAACACATTCGACCACTTCACCACCATTAAACTGCGAATATTTGCAACCAGTTCGGCAGCTTCGCCTTACATCTGATAGGAGCCAGTGAAAGACATGCCTAACATACTCAGATTTCTGCTCAACTCGTTCAGAAGACCCTGTATTGCGTCTTCAACTAGCAGGATAACATAGTCTGCATACTCCAAGTCAACCAGATGACCTCCAGAGAGCAGCTCAATTTCTCTGAAACTGAACTTATCTAAGGTCATGTCTAGTAGTACATGCATAACAAAATTAAATAGGAATGGTGACAGTGGGCATCCCTGAAGGACACCACTAGTTGTCGCCACTTCTGATGACAACTTCATAAGCTTTTACACGGGTGCGTCAGTTTGAGTAGAATATCCACAATCTCCAATCTCCACGATAAAAATTCCAAGTAAGAGAAATCTTCCATCAAAACATGCATTGATTTAGAACAACAGAATCTTCTAATAATCACATTCTATTGTAGCACTGTGACATAAATAATATACAAAATAAAGATAAAACTAACTTTATGCAAGATATCTTAATTCTACTCTTACACTTTAACGGTTCGCAAATAACTCAGATTCTCAAAAGTTCGAGTAAATAACTGATCACTTAATAAGGAAGTCAGCCACGATTACTGTCTAAAAAACTTTTGCATCTTATCAAGTGTATTATTAACCACCGATACTAAGCATCAAAACCTTTAAGAAAAGTGTATTACTATTGTGTTTAGTAGCTATACTAAATAAACGTTGAACAGTAGCTGAGTATCCAACATTGACAGTCTTGTATATGGTTCTTAACATATAAGCCTTTGTAGTCCTGAAAATGAATTGCTTACCTCACTTTACTGGCATTAAGATAAGGATTCATTCGCATAAAATAGTATATTACTAAAAAAGAAAAAACTTCATCAAAGAGGACCCTTTTCAACAAATGTATTCTCAAGCTATACATTTTCATATATATAAGAATGTATAGCTTGAGAATAAATTTGTTGAAAAGGGTCCTCTTTGATGAAGTTTCATGCTTTCGACAATATAATGGGAATCATAAATTTACCACGGAAACGTGTATTTTTCTTCATAAAGTAGTAGCTCATTTGTGAATCAGAATGCCAGATCATGGGTAAATTTTGATGTACTCGATAGAATACTTAGTAAAAGATGTTGATCAATCGCTTACACTACAAGACTACTAAGGAATACCTTTTACAGGAAAGATTTGAATAGGCACTCAGTCGTATATCACACAGTATCTTTAAACTCACGTGATAGTTTCTTTTTCTTCTTTTTAACAGGACGTGATCTTTTCAAATTTTCTTGACTTTCTTGTCCTATCTGATCGTTATTCTCAGTAGAAGTTGACTGGTCAGTCCTTAGGATGGTTGTGTTTTCAAGTGAAGCATTTACACGACCATCTTGACCAATGCTAATGCCACAGCTTTCATATGCATCGATTTGCTTTTGAAGTCTAATCACTTCTGTCTCAGTTTCTTTCAATTGTCCCATTAAATTCAACAAATGATCTGAATGGTTTTCTTGAACAGCAGCTAGTTCTGTCCTACGTCTTTCTTCCAGTTCATTGATTTGTTGTTTCAATTGCTTTACAATGGTTACCGATGAAAATAATAGAATAATATGATTAGCTGCGATAGAACGTCACATATAACACAATAGTGAATACAATCCTAGGAGAATAAGTAAAGTACCATAAAGTATATGTATGATGGTGTTTAACAGTGAACTACTGAAAGAAAAAATCAGAAAAAATATTTCACTCACGAAAGGATCAGACAAACAAATTGTAGAAACTAATTTTAGTCGGAAAGACATCCAATGGAGCGAAACATTTTGTCAGCTTCTTAACCAAAACATTACTGAAACAGCGAATAAAGGATAGGTTATCAATGATGAGTTCGACTCCTACTGTGAAGCTAGTTACATAGGCCGTACGCAAAGGGCTCTATCCACCCACGCTTGTAAACATGCACCAGTTTGGTTAGGGAAAAGAATGACAAACAGCATCATTAATGCAGTCCTCTTACATCTATTAGTTACCGGACATCAGATCAAAGTAGATCATGCCTTTTCGGTGATATACCGTCCCCAGCAATCTCACTAAAGGTTAACGACTATGCACCTTATCCATAGCCGAAACCATAGGTATCAACGCAAGAAAACTGGACTTATGTGTTCAAAAGAAATATATACATCTACTATATCTACCTTGGCCCACAACAATCAATCAATCAATATCAACATAGGATCAGGCATTACTGCGTAGTGGTCCGAGTTGCCACAGCTCATATCAGTACGTCAAGTAAAAAGGCAGTGAAGTGGAAGATGAAGAAAAAAAAGTTCACTCAAAAGAAATATAAAGTACTAAAAGAGAGAAAGGAAGAATGAGAAAATGGTGAGATCCGGTATAACGTCGTTAAGATGAGGATAATGTATGTACACATCTGCGCCACTGACATCTGTTCAGAGCCATATCACCTAGAGTCAGTCTCCAACCAACTGGTTCCTCTTGTCCCGCCGACCCCAATCACCCAGTCTGCATCGCCCTACATGGCTCAAACCAACAGTCAAAGACTTCATACATTGGTCCCATGTTTTAGTCTGGCCGTCTCAGGCCTTTTTCCAGACTGGACCTACTTCGACCAACTTTGTGTGACGAGGCAATCGGTGACTAGGCATACGTAGTACATGTCCTAACCATCTCAATCGATGAAGGTTTATAACCTCGTCTACTGATTGACCTCTGCTCCCTAAAACTCAACACCTGACTTCTGAATTACTCACGTGGTGACACCACGTAATACCCCCTATACTACGAAGGCAACGGTGGTCGAACACCTGAAGCCAGCCTTCTCATGTCTTCCACCTTCAATGGCGGCCATGTTTCACAGCCATAGAGTAGGAGAGAGTGGACTGCTGTGCAGTACACGCGACCCTCAATAGACAATCGGATATAGTGGTGGCACCACAGATGCCGTCAGTTGGCAAAAGCCAACCGAGCCTTTTGTATCCGTGCAGAGATTTCATCGGCAACTAATCCGCCACGGTTGATCCAACTTCCCAGGTAAGTGAAGTGATCGACACACTCGACCAGTCCTGGAGAAAAAAATTTGCATTTGGGTGGTGAAAACCGCATCCCAAACATTCTGAAATGACCACTCAAAGTGTTCAAAAGACTCTGTATCTTGTCAGAGTCTTCACCTAACAGAACTATGTCATCTGCATATTCTAGATCTAAAGAAAATTCACCTGTGATTGGATCAACGTCTGTGTAATTAGGTGACGAGAAGGAAACCTCCATAAGAATATCTATGATAAAAATGAATAAGAATGGAGACAGTGGACACCTTTGACGGACACCACTCGATGAGTATAGCTCCCTAGACAACTCACCATAGGCTCTAACATGCCCACAAGTGTTCGAGTAGAGAGCTTGCAATAAGGTGATGTACTTACTAGGCACGCCTTTCAGTGAGACACTGCCATAAGACTTCTCGATCAACGGTGTCAAGTGCCGCCTTCAAGTCGAGAAATACAGCTATTTTCGGGCGTGTGTAAGCGTGCCTATGTCCCAGAACCTGGCACAGTGTGAATATCTGGTCGATACACCTGCGGCCGGGTCTAAAGCCTGCTTGGTTTTTCGGGCTTGGTGTTCCCGAGCTCTACTCAGGCGTCGGAGAATTATTGAACCTAGGATTTTGGATACTACGTTTGTCAGGCTGATTCCTCTGTGGTTATCACAAGAGGACTTCTCGCCTTTCTTGAAGACTGGAGTAATCAGTGATTTAGACGAGTCAGAGGGGATCTATTGGATTCCCACAACATGAACTTTCCTACCACAAATTGTACATTTTAACCTCTCACCCCTTTCTTTTATATTCTTGTTGCATTGATAAGCATTCATTTCCTGATGTTATAAGTTTCATGTCTTCTATTTATACCACTACCGGTAGTTATTTTCAACTGTGACGTAACACTTCACACTTGTTGTTCCTTATTTCGTTATAGTATTCACATGATTTTCAGCTAGTTGAATATAAGCTGTTAATACATAATGAATATTTGACCCTTAGTAAGTAGACAGACACATACATTCATGCTCCAATAAATGTATATAAACGAATCATTATCTATACTGGGTGATGATTGAAAGTGAGATGAAAATCACGGCCGGACTCGAAGCAGCAACCTCCGGGGTCACCGACCCAGTGCTCTAACAACTGAGCTACGAGGTCCGACTGATGACCAGATTTCTTTTGTTTCACTTTAATCACCACCAAGGGTTTTTCCCGAGTACCATCTGAATTCGTGACGCGTCACTACCGCTTGATCGTATTCATACTGGCTGCCTAGTCAGGACCTCGTAGCTCAGTTGGTAGAGCACCTGATCGGTAACCCGATGGTCGCTGGTTTAAATTATTTTTATTGTAAAGGTCGTATTCCCTTTACATTTTTGATTGCCATCCATTATTTAGACTCCTAGTTTACTAACAATTCTACAAGCTGTAGATAAACTATTCAGCAAGCAAAACATAGATATGTTTCAGAACGTTCAGTACTCAAAATTGCATAGTATCCATCACCATCTCACTACGATAATGATTATTTATGATAAGAAATGATGTGAAAATGACACTCCACTGTGAAACATTTAAGCCGATATGTTTTTATTGATGAGGAAACAATACAATAAGTCTCTAAACGATAGTTAAAAGCCCGAGCTATGCCCCATTACTTCTTTAACAAAAGGAGTGACTGTAAAAGCCAACCCGACAACTTTTGTATATTCTATGAAAAACTACCTTCTGAAGTCTGACTGGTTATCCCGGTAGTTGCTAAGGTGGCCTTTAATGTCACCCAACAAAAACTAGTATTAACAATTTCTTATATAAATAATCATCAATATAGAAGGAGTGCTTTCCAATAGTAAAGCGAAGCTGCTTGAAAATTCAAGTGAATATACGTAGCAACCGCTTCTCTGCTTTGTAAAATGTAGTACCTATGAAGAGTGACATAAAAACCATCCTAGCGAAACTGTTGAAATAACCAATCAAGTTCCAGTAATTTGACTAAGAAGGTAGTTTTTCACACAATGGGAAAACGCGATTGGTTGTCTCAGTAGTTGTTAGGGTGGCCTTAAAAGTCACTCCTTATCAAACCGGTTCAAGTTTGATAAACAGTAGTAGTTGATAAAGTGTTCTAGACCTAATTTTTCACTTATTGATACTCATCAACAAAGTAAAAAAAGATTTTCCCCAAAACAATCGAATTCAATTCTATTTAATCAGTCAGCACCAAGTATATAAAGCAACCAGCAATGTCCAGTTACTTGAGTCAACAGATTCATTGCAAACTTCATCGGTAGTATAATTTTAGCTGTCTTTTAGTGACTTGTTATTTCAATATATGTACATATTCTGAAAGGTATCAACCATACAATAAAAGTTTGAATTTACTTCAATCTCCCTTTCCAATTCCATAGTTGGCACTTCATGTGAACAAGTGTTAGCCATATTTCTTTCTTTCTGTTATGGGAGTAGAAAAACAAAAACGACGAAAGTTTTTTAAAAAATGTCACGAATAACTTGATCCGACCACTGCTAATAAAAATGATAAGAATAATATGTATATATATGAAACGAAAGAAAGATATTGCATCCAATAACATCACATGGTACCTAGGTCGATACATAAAAGATTCATATGAAAATATCACAGTCCATGATAGCTGGTAACTAACGAAACCAATTACAAGAAAGTATTTGAGTAATTCAAGGAAAACGGTGTTGACAGGAATGAATACGGCACCTACTCTTAAATACAGAGTAAACAAACGGTATCAGATTTGTATGATGTTCAAGTGTTTATCATTTAAGCAGAAGTCATGTAGATACAAAACACAAAATAAGCAGTAGATTTTCCAAATTTGTAGTTATACTCTTTAAATAAGAGTTCACAGACAGTGATCACAGTAAAGTAACAGAAAATAGTACTAAGGTAAATAGTTAACTCATTGATCCGGTAATATGGTCGCGCATCTGATCACAACAGGTTATCGTTTAAATGAAAGTGGAATAGTGAGATATTTGTTTTTGGTTATCTTAAAGTGAAATAATGGACCAACAAAATTCCAACACTTACATATAAAACTCAACTGGTAATTAATCTAACGAACAGCTGCGTTACATTCAGTTGGATATAATTGAAATCACCGCTAAAACTATTTTTTTAAATGTATGATGGTTGCTAATGTCAGATGGTCAAACTGTTCGAAATACCACAGAACAGGTAATCTTATGTTATCTAAGTTAGGTACGTACCTCGTTTTTTTTTATCAGAAAGCTATGCTAGTCGGAATATGAACAGAATTTAAAATGTTCCCAACGCATCATATAACCGTAATAATGCATGAAGTTTGTAACTACCAGTTTAATATGTTTTAGAAGTGTGAGCTATCCACCTGTTACCCTTAAAGAAACAAGATAAATTTGGTTACTTTTTGGTTTTATGATTACATAAGTGGTTCCGTTGACATACTTACACTCATTATCTTGTCAATTTGTAATTTAAGCATTTCATTTTGTTGATCTCATCCATCGTTCTTGATCACTTACATACTTTATAAGATTTTTGTTTTTATGCTATGCTGCTGTCCTGTGCTCATGATTATTCATCCCAGATTTTGAATAATTGTAACCAATTAACTATATTGTAAAAATAAGATCTCGTCACTGTGACATCTAATAAACAAACTAAAGTGGGATTAGAACCATAATAAGATTCTATGGTCTACTACCTATGCATTCAAAGAGTGAAGAGTGGAGGGCATCAATTGCTTCTAAGGAGTTAGAATTTAGTTGTAAAAAGATAAATCTGAATAGATGCACTCCAACCAGGCCACAGTAATTATAGTGACAAATGTATAGTGTATATATTTAATCTAATACTTCCAAAATGTCGTAGATTAATAGATTGTAAACCCGAGTGAAGTTGGCACAAAATAACGCAGAATAAATTTAACGACATACAAATCATGACAATAAATCAACTGTATGATAATGAAAATCGTTCATTGCGAGAGAGAGAGAGAGATAATACTTTCAACTCCCATATAGAAAGTAATTCATTTTTGAATAGATTTGAATAACAAATAAAATATATATTTCACATCTTACTTTCTTAGCAATTTTTTTCCACTTTGTCAATTCTGCACGAAGCTGAACAACTTCATTTTTCAATTCTTCCCATGTAGCTGTACCATTTGAGTATGATACATTTGATGGGACTTGATGATCCTCGCTTACAAGATCTGTAAAAATTAAGATAATATGAGCTAACTTTTTCAAAAAGAAAAAAAAATTTACAAAATGTTACTAAAATCTATCGCTTTAGCTCCAAAAAGTAAGTCATACAAAGAACAGTATAAAACTTCTCACATACGTAAAGACTGGCTTTAAAATCACTAATGTAACAATTCTAACCTCGCCTGGTTAACTAGTTTACTAGTTACTAGCCGGTCCTAAGCCCGGGTAAAGAGGGAAGGTTGGGCATACGGCTACCAACCCTACCCCCTAAAACAAATCTAACCGCTAAACAAACTTCAAAGCACAAACAAAATATAAAAAATGAAAACAAACTTATTCCCCGCTGGAATCGGAGAGGCGAAATGACGCCAGTTGGTGAAAGCCTTCGGGAAGCCAATTGGCCGATGTGTCTTCTCTCTCTAGATGAAAGCGAAAGTAAACGTGGGGACATGGAATGTCCGCACGATGTTTGAACCCAGTAAGGCAGCCCAGATTGCAAGGGAGATGAGAAGGTATAACATCGAAGTGCTTGGGATTTGCGAAAGCAGATGGAATGGGAGTGGACTCTCCAAACTATCAACTGGAGAATCAATAATCTACTCCAATATTGCCACCCAAACGACAAACACGAGCACACTGTGTATTGTAGTGGCTATCATGATGTCCTCAAGAGCATCGAAGGCTCTCATGCAGTGGGAACCAATCTCCTCCAGGATCATGACAGCAAGATTCAACTCAAAAGGAAGAAAGGTCACAATCATACAATGTTATGCACCTACAAATAATGCAGAGCAAGAGAAAAAGGAGGATTTCTACAGACAACTTCAATCAACACTGGACAAGACGTCAGTTGGCGATATCAAAATTCTGATGGGCGACATGAATGCCAAACTGGGAGGGGACAACACGGGAAGAGAACTAACCATGGGTCGAGAGGCACTAGGTGAAATGAATGAGAATGGAGAACTGTTTGCAGAATTCTGCGCATTCAACGATTTGGTGATTGGAGGCAGTGTGTTCAGGCACAAAGATATCCACAAAGCGACATGGATTTCACCAGATGGACACACTAAAAATCAAATCGACTTTATCTCAATCTCAAGAAAATGGAGACGCAGTCTACTTAACACAAGGTCAAGAAGAGGAGCAGATGTAGGTTCAGACCACTACCTAGTGCAAGGAACCTTCGAAATCAAGTTAAAAGCCTTCAAGGAAGCTGGTGATAGACCTCAACCCAAGTACAACACTCGGAAACTGAAGGATGAAACTACAAAGGAGATCTTCACGTCAGCCATCAAGACAAAATGGGAGACATCGAGCAACATCCCTGAAGAAACCTGTGTGGAAGAACACTGGAAGTCTTTGAAAGCTATGTGGAAAGAAACCTGCACAACAGTATTAGGAAGGAAGAAGAAAGAAGACAAGGAATGGATCTCGACAGATACCTGGAAGCTGATAGAGGAGAGGAGGATGGTGAAGCAGAAGATAAACCAGTGCAAGGATGCTCAACGACAAGAGGAACTGAGTACAATGTATAAAACACTACACTGGATAAAGAAGTGGAGAAGAGTGCACGGAAAGACAAAAGACACTTCTACGAAACACTGGCAAGTGAAGCAGAACAGGCTGCAGGTAAGAGAGACCTGACGACATTGTATCAAATAACCAGGTTGCTATCAGGGAATAGACCAACACAGATGAAACCAATAAAAGATGAAGAAGGAAATTTAATTACAAAAGAAGAGAAACAGAGGAAACGATGGGCCGACCACTTCAAGAAGCTCTTGAATCGACCACCACCTGCACTTCGTCCAGAAATACCACCTGCAGCCGCTGAACTACAAGTGAACATTAATCCCCCAACGAAAATGGAAGTCCTGAACGCCATAAAGCTACTGAAATGCGGGAAAGCAGCAGGACCAGATGGAATACCGCCAGAAGCACTGAGAACAGATGCAGAGACAACAGCGGACATGCTCACACCACTATTGCAGAAGGTGTGGAAGGAAGAGAAGGTACCTGACGATTGGAAGAAGGGTTACCTTGTCAAACTGCCGAAGAAGGGAGACCTCAGTGCTTGCAAGAACTGGCGCGGAATCACTCTCCTGTCCACCCCAAGTAAAATATTAAGCCGCATCATCCTGGAGAGGCTTAAAGATGCACTGGATTCAAAACTACGACCGGAACAGGCAGGCTTCAGGAAGTACAAATCATGTGCAGACCAAATTGCAACGCTTCGTATCATCATAGAACAGAGCATAGAATGGCAATCACCTCTCCACCTCAACTTCATCGACTTTGAGAAGGCCTTTGACAGCGTCGACCGAGAAGTAATTTGGAAACTGCTTCAATACTACGGAGTACCGCAAACCTTTATCCGCCTCATTCAACAACTATATGAAGATGCTACATGCCAAGTAATCCACAATGGGAAGCTCAGTGATGCCTTTGAAGTGAAGACAGGAGTGAAACAAGGTTGCCTACTATCCCCCATGATATTCTTGATTGTGGTGGACTGGATCATGCAGCAAACAGTAGGCAGCGAGAAGAGGGGGATACACTGGACGACGGAAAAGAACCTAGAAGACTTGGATTTCGCCGATGACTTATGCCTAATGTCACATAAACTTGAAGATCTGCAGGCAAAAACTAACAAGTTGATAGAAGAGGCAGCGAAGACGGGACTTCAGGTGAATATAGAGAAGACAGAAGTGATGAAGATACCGCACCACCACCATCAACAACAACAACAACAACAAACTCCAATCACCGTCAACGGGAGAAACTTAAAGGAAGTAACCTCCTTCACTTATCTAGGAAGCACTGTTTCAACTACAGGCGGGACGGACGAGGACGTCAAAGTCAGAATCGGAAAAGCAAGACAGGCGTTCATTAGCCTGAAACCAGTGTGGAGATCTTCTGCACTCAGCATGCGGAACAAGATACGGATTTTCAACACCAACGTCAAGTCAGTGCTCTTGTATGGCTCAGAGACTTGGCGCGTCACGAAAGGTATTTCCAATAAACTACAGACATTCATCAACAACTGCTTACGCTCGCTGCTGAAGATCAGATGGCCAGAAAAAATAAGCAACAAGGAACTCTGGGAACGAACCAACCAAGAACCTATCACGCAACAAATATGCAGGAAGAAGTGGAGATGGATTGGCCATGCACTGAGAAGGCCGACTGAGGACATCACGCGTCAGGCCCTCGAGTGGAATCCCGATGGGAAGCGACGAGTTGGACGTCCAAGGGTGACATGGAGGAGGTCGTGCGAGCAGGAAATGAGAGCTTCTGGGCTGTCGTGGGACCAGGTTCAAAAGATCTCAGAGAACAGAGGTCACTGGAGGCGTGCTACTGAAGCCCTATGTTCCACTAGGAACCCAAGGGACTAATAATAATAATAATAATAATAATGTAACAATTCTAATAAAGAATTTTTCAGATTTGTTGGGTAAGCAAAGACGATTCAATTGGTGTCAATAAGCTTATTCATACGAAAAGTATATTTATCATATTCTGACTGAAAACAGTAAGTCATGTTTTTATCTTAATGTAAGGGGATAAGTAGGTGGAGTTGAGACGAGATTCGAACTATCCGTTACCAGGTTACAGACTCAGTGCTTTACCAAATGAAATATCAGACCTCATTAATCTACCTGTATTATTACAACAGCCATTACCTTGTAAAAATTCACCCATTAGGTGTCAACTAAACAGTAGACAATAAGATTTGGTGAGTGTACATGACCTACTACTAAATATGAAGTTACTTCGCAATGCATACTAAATGAATCCTCTATTCACCTATAAAATCGAAGTCAGAAACATCTAATCTCAACGTCGCCATGAAATGTCAACAGCACCAATGAGTCAGCAAATTGAGTTCAAAGAGAAATTTGTAACAATTGATCTTTTTATATCCTTTGAAGAATATAATACAAAATTGAGTTAGGTGAGAATAATAACAATAATCATGGGATGAAGGAGTAAAGTGATTAGTGTCAGCTATAGATATAAGCTAAAAAAGCGAAATTTGTTGGTATCCCGTACCCACAAAATCATCTCGATAGTTGAGCAGGAAAGAATTCACTCAAATAACAGACACCCTGATGTTAGTTACACACAAGATTTTTGTTTAGAGTCAACTTTACAGTGTTTGAGTATATTACATTCATTTCACATCCTTTGGCATTACCACAGTATTAAAATCTGCACAATCATGACAACTAATACGAAAACAAGAAAAGAAAGTTATCGTAAACTTTCTATACATTCACATCTTCATGAATACTGACTACATTATTATTGATCTGTTTACGATTAATCAGTTTAGACAACCTTTTCATATTAGCTGATTCTTTATTATGATTGTGATGCTATTCTCTGAGTTCTCCTTCACTGTCACTGATAGAAAGATCAGTTAATACGAGTCGTCTTGAAGTGCTTCGGTAAAGCTTGTCGCTATTACTGTTAACATCGCAAAACAGGCAGAAAAAGTTAGATTTGTACACAAGATTGCGAAACTTCAATACTGATTTGTACTGCATTTCTAAGACTCACTGTGATACGTGAACTACCGAAATAAAGGTCCTCTGGATGTTAAAACTAATGGCTGCAGATTCTGTATTACACTTTGTAGTATTGATCAAAGTGGTGCATATGAAATCAGTCTTTACCTATTAAGAAATTCTCGACATTTGTTGTTAGCATCACTTCCATCTTTATACCAGTATTGCCGTTATTTTTATTTGCTATAGTGATTATTTTGAACCATTTGACTTTTACACAATATTCTACGATGTTGTATGACTGCCTCAAGCATCTACATCTAAGATAGGAAAGATGTACAGTGAATAAATGGAATTTCGATCAATGTTTTAATGATTACTTAAACGGAGTAATGCATTCCAGAATGAGTTTCTGCCAACCCAGTACCTCATTTCAATCAGTCTCTTGTACTCTATGGAATTGGGTGTTGAGGAGGCATGTTCCCTGGAAAACTTATCAAAACACTGAAAGTTATGAAATAGATACTTAAGGTGCAGTGGAAATACATGGTCACTTTATTATCTGCTTCAAACTGATACTTAGGTCAGGTGAATTTGTTACAACTATTTTTTTGCAATCAGTGGCACTCTGAAAACATCTACGAATTAGGTGCGTGATATAGTTGAAGATATCCAACCTCTAGGAGGAATTTGCTACAGCGAATATACGGATGACATCATTAAGCCATGTGACAACACATAAACTACTCAATTTTCATTTAATTTTTTAGTGATCAACGTCCGTAAGTGTGGTATGCTTTGCGCATTATCAAGGTGCAATACTTTTTCACGATAGTTGACAGACGTTTGAATTAACCTTAAGTAGTTAACCATTAAGAACTGTTGGTAGGTCTATGTAAGTGAATGACCCTTTATGCTAATGTGGTCATAACAGATATCACTTTCTACGTAACAAAAGATATAGAGGCACATATTGATACTAGTGGTCTCTAGCATTGTCGCGGCACCAGTCTAGCTGTAAACGATCGGCTGTAAAGTGTATAACTGAGAGCAGTTCTGTAGTATGTTTCCGCATTCAGTCGTTCCTTGCTAATCATTTTCAACTATAACCACCTTCTTAGTGCTGCTGGTGTTCGGTAGCTTGAAAAACAAAGATAACGAAGCAGGGAAACAAGTAAAAGTGCGAGAGTAATCAGACCAAGTTTGCATGCTGATTACTATTCATTTTTATTCGATACTAAAATTGGGTGGCACGAGGTCCAAACACACGATCTCATGGTTTATGACGCTCCTATAAATCATCTACTACAAGACTTTTCAATAGAGACAAATGTTTAACACTAATAACTTATGTGTGAGAATGTACATAGAAACGGTTTTCTTACTTGAACCCTAAGCACAACCTCCACGAAACCAAATACACAATTTAATCAATTATAAGCAGCAAAAGATGACTGTCTACTGTGAAACTCTAGCCTATTGGAAGAACTTGCCACGCTAGTTAGAAATACACTAAATAGAGTGAGAAGACTAGATAAATACGATCAGGATACAAAGAAAGGCAGAAAATACAATGAATGTAGGAGTCACTCACCAGGATATTGTCGCATTCCAGATTTTGACGTACTAGTATCGAGATGATTACTGGTGCTACCAAGTGAAGCTTCCGGCTGGCCCTCAGGTTCTCCACGCTCATTAGAGACTTCAGATCGTAATTTAGAAATTATAGCCTATATAATCAAGATTCAATACACAAAATTAGTAGCAGAAGTGAAAAAATACTCTAATGAATGCCAGTGTTTTAACCAATAGGACTTAGAATATGAAAACTGTATGCGTAATTATACAGAGCGATGAATTTAACTCGTTACTTTTTCAGTTGGTGGTAGGGTGCAAAAGATATCGGTTGCTTAACCTAAAAATTCTACAAAGCCATTGAACGACAGTCGTGTGTAATCTGCCTCATGTTAATTAATGAAGCAAACAAAATGGATGGCAGAATAATAGGTAATGTAGCTCATGGCCCGTCGTACTAACACCCACACCCAAAATACTGTGCTATATTTATATACAGTAAGGGATTAACTTCAGTAACATTGCGGGCAAAACCACTTTGAAATATTACCAAAACTACAAACTTTTTTAAGATGATACAGGAAATGGGTAATATGGAGATAATGAAGAGATGTATTTGCGCAATACATTTCGAACAATCTGATCACCCACCCCACCCTATTTTCATCCTTTGTATAAAATGCTTTGACAACTAAATGTGATCAGATTGTTCAAAATGTACTGCGCGAATACATCTTATTATTCCCATATTTTCCAAATCCTGTATTATCTTACTTATTTTAACTCACCCTATTTTCATACCTTATATAAATTTATTATTGTGAATAAACATTGATTTCAAATACATTTACAATAAATTATCAACAACGAATGATTTACCAGGAACGAAGTTATTGGGTTGCAGGTTTCAACCCAACAAATACAATTTGACCTCAATAACGATGTAGCATAGTAAGGTTTTGAATACATATAATTCATAGACTAGGTAACAGAACTGTATGTGACAGGCGAGTTGCGTACATTTAATGTGGGTGCAGTATGTACGTGATCAGAGGTAAACTGAACAGAGACTTGGATTGTTCTAGCACATATAGGTACTGATGAACTTCTGATCACTGAGAACTAGCGTGGAAAAAAATGATAAGCATAACTGATTGAAAGCTAATAATCTTGCCGTATCGAGTAATAAGAACAGAGAACTTCACATCGAACTGACTCCAGTCTTCTTCTAGTGTTGGTTTAACTATACCTTAAACTTTAGATACGACTATTAATAATCCAAATATGCACATTTGATTTCCTAAGGTATGTAAAGAATATTTGGGGTGATAGACACCTCCAAACAATGTAAATGGTTACTTTTGTCGAGCCAACGACAGTTCTATCAATGAAAGTTTTTCCGCACACTTCATATTGGAGACATAAAAGTAAAAGGCGATAGTACATCAGAAATTAAGACAAAAAAGGAAGCTGATATCAAGCACTGCTTGTGAAACCACTGAAAATCATCTGTGATGTCATAGAAATGAATGCATACTCCTTTAGCAATAAAATAACTCGTGATACTGTTAAGGCGTACCCCATTATCACATCATTTTGTAATGGTGGTTCACCAATCTAGACACTCAAGTCCAAAGCAGCAAGTTATGGCTTCAAATTCACTCTACCTAATTCGAAATAGGGCCTCATACTTAACGTGACTAAGAGTCTTGTACACGGATTTGTACGTTCCTGCACTGCACTGGAGACTAAGAAACTTTAATGCTACACCTTTCGGATATTTTTAAATATCACGTTGTTTTTGTTAACCATTACTTGAAGCGACTTTGTGATTCAATTAAGATGTTGATTTGAATGTTGGTGGATATATACACGTTATGAAACAAGACAGTAGAATACATCCCCTATGAATTTAAGTGTCTTCAAGCTTTCACCTAAACAGTGAAATGGGAGGGTAATTTTGTAGTTTGATCTTTTTTAAACCCAAAATTGTCGAAAGCAACCAAGTATAACTTATGATAACACTTCCTATACGTGATTTCCTGGACAACCTCTTGGTTAATGTCAGCTTTGAAAATTTATATACGAGAAAGTCTACTCATATTGAAATAAATTTTGAGATAAAGCCTACAAGAGCGCTGTTGGTGCATTCATGGTAGGTAATTAAAGGATGGCACGACTGATTACATATAGAATATTATCATTTACTCATCGAAGATCCTTTCAAAAGCTTGAAAGCAGATGATAGCAGTGATCAGGATGCTAACCATTCATCGATAGACTACTTGAGAAGGTTGGTTATTAAAAAGGGTGTACAGTGGCGACACTTCTGCAGCAATGATTTATTATCACATTCAAAACTAATCGGAGCTACTAATACTAGTATGCAAAAATACACATGTGACGATGCAGAAGTCGTTCGGTGCGTACTTATCACAAGTAGGATATATATATATATATATGTATATATATATATATATATATATATATATATATATATATATATAATATCGAGACTACTAAGAAAGACGAAAACGTCATATTACCAATCCGAAAACGGAACTTGTTATACGCCCACCACACGCCATTTTTGTAGCACAGACACGAAGGCTTACAAAGACAATTGCATCCCAGGAGTTTTTTTCCTGGAGAAATACAACCTGAAGGCTTTACGGAAGCGCTACTGCGTGTATCAAAACCAAGTAGTCAGATTTGCCTTTTCCTTGAAGTAGCTTGATATGCCAAAAATTCCAAATGCTGTAATTACAACGAAAATACTTTACAACACTCAGTAAAGTTACATTTACAGCACTTAACACTACGGCTAACAATTTAAAAATGCTAATCAAGCCATAAACTGAGACAGTGTAAATGATAAGCTTTTTGCGGCATGATGCACACAGACATACCAATGATACGCATATGAAGAGATAAAAGCATGAAAACCGTAAAGTAATGAGATGAGCAAAGGCACAAACCTCTTTGTCACGCAACTGCTGAATAAATACCCCCTTCGTATGATCCAGCATTAACTGAGATGACTCTAATTGCACCAGTAAGTCTTCATTCCGAGACCTAATAGAGTTGATCTAACAATAAGCACCATAAGCATTAGCTGGTTACTTCTGTTTTTTGAGTTTCAATAACAGACTCCAATTCAGTTATACGCGCACGTGCCACTGACAACTCAGTCTCTGGATCTGTTTATAAATGCAAGCATCACTAACATACAAACCTTTTATTTCACGCGTCCCTTCTGCCAAAAGGTCTTTAGTGATGTTAGTTAGCTGGCCTTTTATGGAAGATAAGCCTCCGAGCCAATCCATTGAGTGTAACGAATCTCACCAATTTAGGCGGGCGAAAATGTATATGCAATTTCAATAAAATTCCTCCGGAACCATTGGACTTGTGTTTCGAAGGTGGAAGACAACAGGCCTAACGCAATCCTATTACGGTAGATCTCTGTGCGCGTCCCTTCGTTTTCTGAGGCCACCGTAACCCTAAACCGAAACGTTGAGAGTCAGACTGGCAACCTCCACCCAACACCGAGTGCATCAGTCGACCCGAGAAAAAAGTTAACTGGGCCAGTTCCATTGGAACTGGACAGTCAGTAGAAACCCGCAGATCCAAACCTGTGCACTAGTTAACCCACAGACATCCCATATTACGAGAAGCACTTCCAAGTGTCTTTACAGCAACGTGAGAGGACTCCGAAATAAAATGCCACAGCCCCGATCCCTCTGTTTCGACCTCGTCCCAAAAATCATGGTCATGACAGAAACATGGTTGTCACCCGACATAAGTGACATCGAAGTTAACATAGACGAAATGATTCTGTCCAGGAGAGACGGAGAACAAAAGGACGGAGGGGGGTTTGCGATATACGTGAACAGTTGGTTCAGAAGTGAACAAACCACTGACACTGTACTGGCAAAGCTCCTAGACTCTACCAGGTGTCACTCCATCGTCAAACACACCAAATTCCTAGTTCCAGGCATCTGTAGCGTCAAATACTTCCCCAAAATCAATAGCCTAGGGTTCGACGCCATTCAGCATTAACGCTGACCTTGATAGTTTAACTGGACTCGCTAAGCTGAAGGCACCCGGTCAAGCATCCTCGCCATTTGGCACGCTGTTGTGTCACGTCGCACTGTTCGTAATCGACTCCCTGGCTAGTCAGTTGGAACGCATCGGTATCCTGGGGCAACCACCCAAATATACTATTCCATCCGACTACGCTATCGTGTTCTTCCTTGTCCTCGTATTCGTGGGTATATAACAAGTTCGAATAATTAGTGATTGGTCTTTGCGTCTGTCAAGTTCGCACCAGGACAAATCCTTAATTGGTGAGCCCGACGTGACCACATATCCCAACGTGATAACTTATCCCGGCCGATAGCAAATATCGAATTGCTGAGCCTGTTCCATTTTATATTTGTATATTGTTTTCATTTCGATAACATTTATATGTCCATTTACTACACTCTGTCATGTCCGACCACACTCCCAAGCTTATTAGTATTAAGTCAACTACGAACACGATCCAATTCGTGCCACAGCCAGACAATGCAGAAACATGGTTTCTGTATGCCGAGGCCGATTTTCGAGAACAGCGTGTCTCAGATCCCCGTTCTCGATTTCTTGCCATCAAACGTTCACTACCGCGAGAATTAAACCGGCACGTTACACCACATATGTTTAGTCTCGAAGTAAGTGATCCTTATGCACTTCCGAAGGCCGCACTCTTGAAGAAAAGCGACCCCACAAATCGTCAGCGCCTAGACGAATTACTTCGTAACATCGAGCTAGGCAGCTGCTCAGCTACTGAAGTCCTCGCACGCATGCGAGAAGTTATCGGCACACGAACATTCGACAATGGCCTTTTTCGAGGACTATCTCCCTCAAAACTACCACAACCGGTGCAAACCGTGTTGGTGACACTGAAGTCAGTCCCACTCGATAACCTGGCAGCCTCGGCAGACGAACTACTGGAGATTTCCAGCAGACCCGTCTCCAGCGTATATTCTGTCCGCGACAAACCAGAGAGCCAGGATTCAGGGGTGACCAAGCTGTGCAACTCTGTGAAACAGTTGCTACGATCTCGAAGTCCTAGTTCACGTAGAACTCCACAGGATCTCATCTTAGAGTATGGCAACAAATCGCGTGGTTGCCCCAAAACTAAACCTAATATTGTGGAAAAAATTAAATGGTGCTGATTTCGTAATACGAAGTCAGAAAATGTCGGAAACCATGCAGTTTTAACAAGGACATAAACTCGGGAAACGGCCACACCGGCACGTGTCCACGGCAACCGTAGCCGGCGGAAACAGACGTTTGCTCTGCTTCACCGACATAAGAACGAAAGTCCGCTACCTCGTCGACACCGGCGCAGAAGTTAGCTTCCTTCCCGCACCGACAAAGGAACGTCACCATGACCCATCCTTCAATCTTCAAGCAGCCAACGGCAAGGCAATCGCGACATTCGGGAGACAGTGTGCCTACCTCAACTTAGGTTTACGTAAACCTATCCACTGGAATTTCCTCCTGGCTGACGTCTCTATGCCATCATTGGCATAGATTTGCTAAACCATTACGATCTACTCGTAGATGCTCGCCGTCGACGACTGATAGATAACAACACAAAGTTATCTATTGGCGGCACCACCTATGTAGGTCCGAGTTTAGCCATCGTTAGAACCAAACAGTCAGGCGACGCGTCCTACCAGGCAGTTTTGGAGAAATATCCAGAGTTGCAACAACCGAAGCACACTCTTCCGTGCATAACCAGCAATGTTATGCATCACGTCACAACCACAGGTCCACCTGTGGCAACGTCTAGCCCCCGATAAGCTCAAACGGCGAAAAATGAATTCGACCACATGCTCGAACTGGGCATTATCAGACCGTCAAACAGTCCTTGGGCATCGCCATTGCACATGGTTCCCAAAAAGGATAGCAACGACTGGCGTTCAACCGGTGATTACCGAAGGCTTAACGCCAAAACAACTCCGGACTGCTACCCGATACCTCACGTTTACGACTTGACTGCAACCTTATGCGGAATGAACATTTTCTCCAAAATCGACTTGGTCAAAGCGTACAACCAGATACCTATGGCAGCAGAAGATATCGCGAAAACAGCCATTATTACTCCTTTTGGCCTGTTTGAATTCCTGCGCATGCCATTTGGTCTTCGGAATGCAGCACAAACATTCCAACGCTTTATGGACGACGTCTTCCGTGGTCTGAATTTTGTTCATGTCTACATCGATGACTGTCTAATTGCGAGTCCAGATAAGGAAACTCACCTTAAACATTTGGACCTCGCATTCGAAAGACTTAAAAAACATGGCATCACAGTTAACTTACAGAAGTGTGAAATAGGAGTTGAATCACTCAGCTTCCTTGGGCATACCATTGACAACAAAGGTATACGCCCATTGAGAGATAAAGTGGCGGCTATCACAAACTATCCAGAGCCGACCACTGTGAAACATCTCCGCACTTTCAATGGCCTGGTAAGTTATTACCGAAGGTTTATCCCTAACTGTGCCTCTGTCATGAGACCACTCACAGATCTACTTCGAGGAACTGCGAAGTTCGTGTCTCTGGACAACGCGGCTAGACTTGCTTTTTCTAAAGTCAAGGAAGCCATTTCGAACGCAACCATGCTTATGCATCATGACCCCAATGCTCCTCTGAGTATTGCTGTTGATGCATCTGATTCAGCAATTGGAGCAGTTTTGCAACAGTTGACTGACAACCAGTGGCAACCGTTAGCCTTTTTCTCGAGGCGGCTGCAAGACGCGGAAACAAGATACAGTACATTTGGTAGGGAACTCCTAGCCATGTACTGTTCTGTACGCCATTTTCGACATTCTGTGGAAGGTCGTGATTTCATTATTTTCACAGACCACAAACCGTTAACGTTTTCCCTCAGCTCGGCGTCTGACAAATACTCCCCTCGTGAGTCGCGACAGCTGGATTACATTTCCCAGTTCACGTCAGACATCCGCCACATTTCTGGAGCAAACAACTCCGCAGCCGACGCACTATCTCGAATAGCTTCGATAAACTATATCGAGGGTATTGATCTCGTTGAACTAGCTCGGCGTCAAAAGGAAGACCTTGAGCTGCATCATGAGTTGTCGTCCACAACTCTCAAACTGCGACTTTGTCCTGTTGGATCAGACAAGGATGCAATTTTGTGCGATGTCTCTGCTAGTCAACCACGCCCAATAGTTCCGAAGAGTTGTCGACGCAACGTCTTCAATACGTTGCACAAACTCTCTCATCCAGGTGTACGAGCCACCATTAGGCTTATCGCACAACGTTTCTGCTGGCCTGGGATGAACAAAGACGTTAAGGAGTGGGCCCAGTCGTGCTTAGCTTGTCAAAAGTGTAAAGTCACGCGACACACGAAAAGCCCTTTAGGCTCATTTCTAGCCCCAGACATGCGTTTCGACCACGTCCATATAGATATTGTAGGACCCCTACCAGAATCTAATGGATGTACCTACCTTTTCACCTGTGTTGATCGTTTCACACGATGGCCGGAAGCAGTACCCATTAAAGATATTACTGCCGAAACAGTTGCTCGTGTTTTCGTCGAAAGATGGATCGCGAACTTCGGATGTCCATCCTACGTCACAACCGACCGTGGGCGCCAATTTGAGTGTGGACTATTTCACGCTCTAACGGCACTTTTAGGTTGCACTCGGTTCCGAACGACAGCCTACCATCCACAAGCAAATGGCATGGTAGAGCGTTTCCATCGACAGCTGAAAGCTTCCCTTTCAGCTACAAACATACCTCAGTGGACCGAGGCTCTGCCTCTAGTCCTACTAGGTATTCGTAACGCGTTGAAAGTTGATGCTGGATGCACTCCTGCAGAACTCGTCTATGGGACCACTCTTCGCCTACCAGGTGAGTTTGTTTCCCCTTCAACTTTCAAACATGTTTCCGACAGGGCATCTTACGTGACTAGGCTTACAAACGCAATGCGTTCAGTTAGGCCTTCTCCGATTAGACCGCAAACGACTGATGTTTTCGTCCACCCCAGTTTACAGAAGACATCACACGTGTTTGTTCGCCACGACGCTGTTCGTCGACCACTTGAACCACCCTACGACGGGCCGTTCAAAGTGATTAAGCGACACGAGAAATTCTATATAATTGAGCGAGACGGACGGGAAGATACTGTCAGTATCGACCGTTTGAAACCAGCTTATTTCGAAGGCAACCCCATTATAAGTGACGTTTCAGCTCGCTACAGCCGACCGACGGATGACTCAATTATCGAAATTCTTGACGATGTGTATGGTAATGCACAGTTACAACAACCATAGACGCAACAGAAAACACGATCAGG